TTTAGAAAGCAACAAAACTAAAAGCCACAGCCGTTTTTCATGGACATGGGCTTTATTTGGAGACTGTCAGGGAAAGGCGGGTGGGAGCTAGAACTGGTGGGTAGACGGGGGGGAGGGGCTTCCAAATTCGTTTTTTATTTAGTGCACAGTTGCCTGGAGGTTAGGATGAGTGAGAACAGCTGTAGAAGTGAAAGGAGAGGAAAAGGGAAGGTCACAGAATGGACACTTTCCTTAGGGAAGGAAGCCAGGGCCAGAGTATGGGGACTGGGGATGGAGAGGGAAAGCACCCTTCATATACTGAAACTCAATTAAGGTCACTGCTGGATGCCAGCACCCCCAATCCCCCTTTTCCATCCCAGCCCCCTGCCCAGACACCTGCCCTGCCATCTCCTTCAACTGTGCATGGAGAGGAGGTGGGTACAGATGTGGGGGATGCTGGCGTCCTTCTGTCTCCAGCTCCCCTGCCCAGGAGACTTGCTCACTCCACCTGCCCTGATGTCCCAGCCAGAGTTGAGAGGTCAAGAAGCCCGGGTGCAGGCAGGAGGACAGTTGTTCCCTTCCAACCCTCCTCACACTGTGCCCCACTCTGGCCCTTCACATGAGATTGCAGCTCTTGGCTCGGTCCTTGTGTATTTCACCCTCATTCCCGTTGCCCCGGTCCGGCCGTCCTCCCAGCTGGGTGGATCGCTGCAGTCCCCGGCGTGAGTCAGTGCGGCGCAGCTGCCTATGGCCACGGCCAAGGGAGGCCACTGTGGCCACGTGGAAGACGTCCCTGACGCTGCGCTCAGAGGACCGGGAGGAGCACTCCACGTAGGACACAGCCCCCACCTGCTTGGCCAGCACAGTGCCCTGGAAGGATGGAGTTGATGGAGGAAGTTATGGGGCTTTGGCCTGCAGCTCAGCAAGGGGCAGTGAGGCTGAGGGCTGGGGAGGGTCAAGATACCAGTTCAGAGGTGAGAGGCCAGGGCAAGGGGTAAATCAGGTAGGGTGTTTTCAAATCAGAGATTGAGAGAGGGAGGAGTGAGAGGCCTAGGCTGGGACTAGGTCAGAGGTCAAGGGTCCCACCTGCTCATGTGTAACAGGGATAAGCCTCTGCTTGGACAGCTCCCTCAGTGTGGCCAGGTCAGTCCGCATGTCCAGTTTACAGCCAACCAGCACAACCTTGGCATTGGGGCAAAACTCCTGAGTCTCGCCTTGCCACTATTTAGGGGAAGAAAACAGATTATGGAGGTTTTGAAGGAGGCACAGGGTGAACTCTTGCTCCATGCCAGGACAACACCCTTCCTCACATCATGCAGAAACCATGTGCCCCTCTGGAGCAAGGAGGTGGCAGTGTGGGCTTGCTTGAAAGCAGGAGGGGGTATGGGATGAGAGAGCTAGGGTGGGGCTGTAGTGTTGGCCAGAGGCTCTGCTTCTACCTTTGTGGCCATGAAAGGTCTGCTAGCCTGGAACCTTCCCATTTTTACCCTTTCCCAAATTTGTTCCTGGGAACAGACCAATCTGCTTTCCCCTCCCCCACCTGGGAACTGGGGCTGCCTTAGCTAACTTAGGTCCATTCACCATGGGCTTTTCTCATGGAAATAGAGGCCTGGAGAGGAGACCACAGGGCTTTCCTGAGCTCCAGGAGCAGGGCTCCCATCCCCTCCATCTGGGATCCCACACCCAGGGAGATGGGGAGTGTGGATAAGGAATCTCATCAGTACTTCTCTCTGTTCTCCATTTCCACCTCCCCCAGATGCTGCATCCAGCTCTGAGGACTGATTTCCAGCAAGTGAGGGTGGAGGGATGGGGAAGAATGGGAGCTTCACACACTCTCCAGCTGATGGCTATGCCTCAGCTTTCACTCCCTCCTTCCTGGCCCGTGTGTTAGACCATGGTTCCTGGTCCGCCTCAGCCTAGCAGTCCTGCTTCCCCAGGCTCCCACCTTCTTGAGGACACTGTCCAGTGTTTCTGGCCGACTAATGTCGAAGCAGATGAGCACAGCATCTGAATCAGGATAGGCCAGTGGCCGGACGTTATCATAGTAAGAAGAACCTGAGGGGACAGACAAGGGTCCTGAATGGGTGGGAGGCCTGGAAGTAAATGGGAGACCTTAGCAATCCTGGTCAAGGCATGCTAGGAGCAGAGAATGGAAAAAAGCTGTTATTAATACTCCTCAAGAAGTCTGTGTTTCTCTGACAAGAGGAGTAGGCAGAGAAGGGGTTATATGGGAGAATACAACTCTCCACTTCCCTAGGGTTTCTCTAAAAGTAATCATTATTAATCTTTTCTAAGTCTTTGAGAAGCTCATGAAATCTCTTGACATTCTCAAAAAATTTTTGCAATTTCTGGGCTTTGACAGACACCTTCCAAAGCCCTCTAGGGTGGCCAAGTAAAAATAAAACCCTCCTCCTTTTTTGGGGGGGAGGGGCAGGGGAGCGCTCTCCCACCCTCTTGGGACTTGATCTAAAATGTCTATATTTAAGCCTAGAGAAGCAGTTCCCTACCTCCCAAAGAAATTATAAATGTCTTTCCTAAACCCAGTCCCATCTCCGAAGAAACACCTTCCAGGTGGAAGCCATTCCTTCCCAACTTTCCCACGGAGGCAGAGTCCAGCTGATACTGGGCTTTCTTCTTCAGGACAAGGTTTCTGAGTCTCCACCAGGTCTGCCTCAGTTTTCCTGGCTTTAAGCGTTGGATTGATTTTCTTTTCTCCTAGAATTGGATGGGTGGGCTGGGCTGGGCTGACCTGGAGCCTAAGAGAGGGGTGAAAGTGGAGGCCTTGGAAGTCAGGGTGACCCCGAGGGACTTGGCTACCTGAAGTGTCCCACATGTTGAGCTCAATGCGGCGCTTGTCGATCTCAAAGCTCGCGGTGTAGTTCTCAAACACGGTGGGGACATAACTCTGCAGACACGGATGGGTCAGGATGAGATCCTCTAGCCCTCACCCAGAAATATGCCCTCCCCACTCCCACACCGCATTCAGCCCAGTCCCTGGACACAAGTTGGTCTAGTGTTGAGCAAAGGGGAGGTCTTAGGAGCGGCTGCCTCAGCCGAATCTCCCCTAGGCTCCCAGACCTCCTCCTAGTCCCTTTAGCCCCTTGTTCTTCCCCTCTACAATGCCCAGGACCCCCAACATTCCCCCAGCGCCCCCTCAGGGATCCTCTGGTTCTCCCAAACCCCATTCATCTCACCCTGCTCCCCAATTCCTCCCACTCCAATTCTCTGCAGTCCTTCCAGAGCCCCCAACGTTTTCCTCGGTCCTTCGAGCCCCTCTTTCTCGCTCCTGACACCCATTTCCGTCCGTCCCTCGGCCCCGGTCACCAACCCCCGCAGCCTCAGCAACCCCCCCTCCCAAGACGCTGGTCCCTCACCCCGGGGTAGGCGTCCTTGGCGAACACCTGCAGCAGCGCCGTCTTGCCGCACTCCGCGTCCCCCACCACCACGATCTTGCAGCGGCCGCTCTGTCCCTCCATAGTCCCGGCTACGCGCCGGCCCCGCGCGTAGCCCCCCTTCTCGGCCCCGCTGCCGCCTCCTGCACCGCTGCAGCTGTAGCCGCTCGGGCCGGCAACACCGGCATCTCGCGGGCCCGCGCAGATCCCCCGCCCGGGACCGCGGCCCCCCCCGGCCCGCCCCCAGCCCGCCGGCCTCGCCCCCGGCCCCGCCTCCCACCCGCGCCGCCAGGGGGCGGGGCCCAGAGGAGCCGGGCAGGGCCCGGGGAAACAGAGTTCCATCGCGCTGGTGTGACCTAAGGGGGCTCTTGCCGACTAGGGGCAGGCCGAGCCCAGCTAATTCGACTGATTTGACCTCCTTGGGGATGGGGTCAGGGCGGAGTTTGGCGAAGTTCTGAGAGGTAGGGTGGGAGCGGCACACACGCTAGGCTCGGGCCTTCTGTGTGCCCACGCGTGCACGCCGGTGTGCTAGTGCGGACACGCGCGGGGGGGCAGCCATCCACTTTCTAAACGGGAGGTGGCGCGAGATGGCAGGGGAAGGAGGAGTCTTTTTGGTTCGAGCTCCTTCCACTTCACGTCCCGGCAGGGAGTCTTGGGGATACAAGCATTTGGACTCCAAGACACCCACTCGGACAGTGGTGACATCATGGCTTTCTGTCCCCATGGCAACGAACACCCTAGTCGGGGTCTGCAGTGACTTAATGGCGGGCCTGGACTAGCAGGGAAGCTCGGACTGAGTTTTTTCAGCCAATTGCAGAATGGAAAGTTTTGGGGAGCTGCGTCCTCTGCCGGATGCTTCGGGAAGAAGGAGATGGGAGGAAGAGGAAGATAGAACTGCCCAGAGTGACAGCCCTGCTAGAGCCAGAGACAAGTTCTGAAGTCATTTCAGGCTTGATCCGGAGTTTAACAGTAATCGAACCACTGTTTTGCATTTGCATGGCATCTTCTACCTTTTAAAAGTGCTTCTTTAAAGCGAGGTTACTGTATTTAATTTTATCTTTACTCAGTAACAATAACCAGTTCATCCTCACCATTCTACAGAAGGGAAAACTGAGACACAGCTTTAACAAACGAAGTAAGATGAAAAATTTTAAAGTCTCGGTCTACCAGCTCCAACTTTGCCACTGCAAGACTACACGGAATGGGTCACCTATGAGTACAGTCAGAGCCTGAGCAACAGCTTGTTTGGGTTCCGGTCCACGGGGGCCTAGCTCCCCAAATATGATGTAAACTCAGGTTTTGCTATTGCCCTTCACATTGCCTTTTAACATATTTTTTAGCTTGCATAAAGTTTATTAGGAATAAGTAAGTTAAATCACAGTGTGCGTGACCCCAAGAATGCCCTCGCGCGGGTCTGCCCCCAGACGTCCCTGGCTCCACTTTTCGCGCTTCTGCAGCACCCGCACGTTGGCCCTGGCCCTTTAAGGCCGCGCGCCAGGCCCCACCCCCGGCCGGTTCCCCGCCCCTCCCGCTGGAAGTCCGCGGCCTCCGCTCAGCCTGACGTGCGCCCCGCCCTCCCCAGCTGTGCGCCCTCTGTCCAGCTGTGCGCGCACGTCCGGAGTCCCAGCCATGTCTGCCGAGAGAGAGGGAGCCGAGGCGGCCACCGTGGTGGCGGCAGCCGAAGTAGGGGCCGGAGAAGACGCCTCATCGCAGCCCCCGAATGCCGAGCCAGCTGGCAACACCCAGCCACCCGCGGCCTCCGAGGGGGCCGCCGCCGTGTCGCCGCCGCCGCTGCGCTACCTGGTGCTCACAGGCTTCGGTGGCTACGACAAGGTGAAGCTGCAGAGTCGCCCGGCCGCGCCCCCGGCCCCTGGGCCCGGCCAGCTGACGCTGCGCGTCCGTGCCTGCGGGCTTAACTTCGCCGACCTTATGGCCCGGCAGGGGCTGTACGACCGGCTGCCACCATTGCCCCTAACTCCGGGTATGGAGGGCGCAGGGGTCGTGATCGCGGTGGGCGAGGGAGTCAACGACCGCAAGGTGAGCGGGCCAGGGCAGGGCAGGGCAGGGAAAGGCTGCGCAGGCCACAGGGCAGTGGGACACGAGGGAGGGTGCCGGGGGTGTGGCAGGGCGGGGAAAGCTGGCGAGGACCCAGGTAGTAGGGCGTGGAAGGCGAAGGAAAAAGGGTCTGTGTTCTGAGGTTTCTGGATAACTGGATTTATAGTGGGCGATGAAGGTGGACATGGAGTTATCGCCGCTTCCCCAACCATTCTTAATTGTCGCCGCAGCCCAGAAGCGGCAGTCGTGATCATGGCCGGGTGGGGTGGGGTGGGGGGGACAATAAGGGCGCCCATGCGCATGCGCAGTGTCTTCTCCGACACCCCCTCCCCCGTGAAACCACACCTGTACCCCTGCCCACAAAACACTCCTCGGGTAATAGTGGTCTGACACTCTGGCGATTAGCGCCTCTTTCCCCGAGGGAGCTTGAGGATCTGTGTTAGGGCTGGGCGGGGAAGCCTGGCTCTGGCTGAGCCCTGGTCACATGCAGCCCCGTGGTCTGTGGGGGTGTGAGACGGCCCCTCCCAGAGCACAGCCGGAGAGGAGGCACGCCCATCATGGAGGAGAGGGAGTCTGCCCCCCACCCCAGCCGCCATCGGCCCTACACTGCCAGTCTGATCTTGATTGGGGGGAGAGCGGGCGCACTTAGGTCTTTGGATCTTTGTCTTGCGCTGTCCCCTGTGACTACAGTATCTCCTCCTCCAGTGACTCAGCCAGCGGGCCACGACCCGGGGCTGCCTTTGGGAACGTTCGGGTGGAACCTCCCTCAGCTTTCCTCATGGAGGGACCCTCGCCTCAGAAACCCCAGCGGTGCCCATTTAGACTGGGGTGGGGGGTGTGGCACCGGGAGCAGGTTGGCCCAGCTCTGCTAGTCTGTTTCTCCTTTTCGTTTATCATTAATCTTGGCGGCAGTCTGGGACACCAGAAAGTTCCAAATGACCAACTTTTTGAGAGACCCAGAGTGAAGGCTTTTGTATAGGGGTTTCTCTTCAAATCAGGCCCCTGTAAGAGAGGCCCCTCAGCTGTATCCTTCCTCTTGTCAGTCCTGCCAGTCCCAGACCCCAGAGCTGGAATGCTCGGATTTATTGTACATGCAAACATCTCCTCCTTAAGGGCTTCTTCTTGGATTCAGCTCTGGCCCCACCCTTTCCACTGACTTCTAAATAATCCCACTCTTGAGAAGGTACTAAGAGGAATTTTTGTTTTGTTTTTTGGTGGGGGGAGTGGTAGTTCATTATACCCGTGAAGGCCACCCACCTAACCCCTCCCCACACTTTCCACTTTGTAACTAGAGGATATCCTGTCCAGGGCAAGAATCTGATGTAAGAGGCTGGATTCTGTGGGGAGAGCCTGCCCTCCCTTTCCCCCGAGTGTCTGGGCTGGGGAGGGGTCATGGACCTCCCCCGAGATGGGCTGAGGGGTGGGCATTAGCCTGGGTAAGTGAGCTTTGTTCTGGGCCAAATCTGGGACTGGTCATGACCCAGACTGATCATTGCGCTTTCCCAGCATTCCTGGGTTATTTCCAAGTCCACTAGTCCTGAGTCCTGACGTGGATGCTTCCATTTCCCAGACCTGATGTTGGCCAGTGCACGTGGGGAAAGATCCCAACCTGCCCATTGTCCTCTTCCTCAGTAGAGGGTGAGGGCTTGAGGACATGAGAAAGGGTGTATGTGGGAGTTACATCGCCCATCATAGACCCCAATCTCAGTAACATACAGAATTCCCATCATTCCTGTCAGGGACCAAGACAGACTGGGATTGTCCCAGAACAGCACCCACACCTCTCTCTCCAGGCTCTTCAGAGCATGAGGAGAGGCCTTCTTTTCTCCTAAGACTGCCCCTTTTCCCTGACCTCCCCTTGACCTCAGTTGCTAAACTCGAGGAAAACGTTCTTTGCCCTTTTCCTCCTGCAAGTAGGCTCTTGTGCAGGTGGCTGAGAGTGGGAGGAAAATGCCTTTTCCTGATGGGTGGGGTTGTGTGGTTCTCCTTGTCCATAACTTCACCCATCTCTGGGTGAAGGTGTTTCCTGGGCTCCCAAACACTTCTCTTGAGGTGACCCCTCCTGCCCTAACTGCTCCAAGACCTCACCTGTGCTTCAGCCTGGTCCTCACCACGCACTGTCCTATCCCGTCAGTTACTGCACTGGTGACTGCCCCTCCTTGCAACTGTTAACTGCCATTCTTGCTAACATTGTTGTTACCTAACACTACTAAGTGCTTACTGTGAGCCAGACATTGGGCTGATAATCACTGAGTGATTTTTTTTTTTTGCCTCCTGATGTGCATAACAGATAGGAAAACTGAGGCTCAAAAAAGTTTAGTGTTTTTATTTGCCCAAGGTCACACTGTCAGTAAACAATGGAGCCCCTTTTTTTCACCAAAACAGTTTGATCTCTTCATCAGTACTTCATGCTGCCCTAACTGCAGGCTTCTTGCATTCCGGGATCTTACACAGTAGTGAAGTGTAAACCCATACAGTGGAGATAAGGATGTACCTACCTCAAAAAGCTGGAGTAGGATTAATTGAGAGCCTGTGTATGTAAAGCACTTAGAATAGGGTAAGCACCCAGGGAAGGTAAAGCTGTTACTGTTTCTGGAGATTATATCATTACCCTGATTCCTGCCGCGGCTTCTACTGCCCCTTCATTGCCAGAAGAGGGACTTGTATATAGTGAGAGGTCATGAATCACTGTGAGGATGAATTAATGAGTGACTGAACCATGCTCTTCTTCCATTCTTCAAGGTAGGGGACCGGGTGATGGTATTGATCAGGTCGGGCATGTGGCAGGAGGAGGTGACTGTGCCCTCGGCCCAGACTTACCCGATGCCTGAGGCCATGACCTTTGAGGAAGCTGCTGCCTTGCTGGTGAATTATATCACAGCCTACATGGTCCTCTTTGACTTCGGCAATCTACGGCCTGGCCACAGCGTCTTGGTACACATGGCTGCAGGTGACAGGCCCTCTCCTTTTATCCCCCATCTTTACCCCACCCAGATTTCCTTCTAGGCCCCTTCTCTGCCGCCTGTCTGAATTGTTGTCATGGTAACACTTTGGCCTATGGCGCCCAGAGGCCTCTGCAGTGTTGTTGCCTTGGTAACATTCAGGCACCAGGTCCAGCCTGGTGTGCTGTCCATAGCAATATGCCCTTACCCAGCAACCCCTCCCTGCCAGCCACCCTCCTCCCAATTCTTAATCATGGAAGTTGAACCTGAGATGAGGGGAGAACACCTCAAAATGAGCCCAGGCTAAATCAAGGTGGTGGGCTGGGTCCTTGTGAGGCAAGAATGGAGATTGGTGGCAGGGAGGCTCCATAGCTCCTCCTCAGAAAAGTGTCTTGCTGCAGGGGGCGTGGGTATGGCCGCCGTGCAGCTGTGCCGTACAGTGGAGAATGTGACAGTGTTTGGGACAGCATCGGCCAGCAAGCATGAGGTGCTGAAGGAGAACGGGGTCACATACCCCATCGACTACCACACAGCTGACTATGTGGATGAGATCAAGAAGGTCTCCCCCAAAGGTGGGGTCAGAGTATGGAAAGGGGGAGAGTGGCACCGGACAGGGAGGGGGTCTCCAGACTTGTGGATCCTAATGCTGTTCCTGGGCCTCCCTACTCTGTGACAGGAGTGGACATTGTCATGGACCCACTGGGTGGGTCAGATACTGCCAAGGGCTACAACCTCCTCAAACCCATGGGCAAAGTGGTCACCTATGGTGAGTTAGTGGGCTGGGGATGGAGGAGAGGGGAATCAGGGGTGGCAGGGTGGCCTGAGAGGTGGGAATGCAGAGGCCTGGGGACTGGGCACTATGTAGAGAGCATCAGGGTTAGGATGGCCCGAATACTGCGTCGGATTGCCACTGCCCAAGTGCAGACACTGTCATTCTCTTTCACGGCATTTCATGCAAGCCTTAGGAAATTCTTCTTTCTGTGCTCCTGTTTGGGGATTATTCCTGTTGAAAAATCAACCAGTTTGCCTTCCTTTGTCTTGCTTTCCCGGGCAAGCGGCATTTTCATTCACACACAAAATAAACAAAGATTAGAGCAATTTTTGAGTCTGCCGGAGTCCATTTGGGCCTGGTGGCCAGCAGGTGGTGAATTATCCTGTCAGTCTGCGGACAATTGTAAGGGGTCTGTGGTGGGGCAGACAAGCATAGATCCAGACATGCAGGGGTTGCCTGGCATCTGGATTCTCATCCCTCAGGAATGGCCAACCTGCTGACAGGCCCCAAGCGGAACCTGATGGCCATGGCGCGCACATGGTGGAATCAGTTCAGCGTGACAGCTCTGCAGCTGCTGCCAGCCAACCGAGCTGTGTGCGGTTACCACCTGGGCTATCTGGAGGGCGAGGTGGAGCTGGTCAGTGGGGTGGTGACCCGTCTCCTGGCTCTGTACAACCAGGGCCACATCAAACCCCACATTGACTCCGTGTGGCCCTTCGAGAAGGTGAGTGTGTTGGCTCTTCAGGGAGGGCCTGTGTAGGACCTGTGACAGATGCCTGGGCTTCCAGGGCTAGGATTCCTGGGAAGGGGAGGGCTGACTCCTTTAGGCTGCTCTCTGGAGGGACCGGATGGCGGCACTGGAGCAGTCCTGTCTTCCTCTCTAGGTGGTGGATGCCATGAGGCAGATGCAAGAGAAGAGGAATGTGGGCAAAGTCCTCCTGGTGCCTGGGCCAGAGAAGGAGAACTAGGGCTGGAGCTGGAGACCCTTGGGACCCAGGAAGAAAGCCACTGGGAAGCTATGCTCTGTTGGCTACCAGACTCTTTTGCATTTTATCTCCTATGGTAATGCTCTGCCCTCTCTCCCCTGAAGGCTTCCAGTTGGTGGTGACCTCTCCCCTGCCCTGTTCTTTCTCTTCAGTCAGGGCTGCCCTCTCCCCACTTCCTGCCCTCCAAAAAGGTTGGGAAGTGACCACTTGGATGTCTGGGCCTTGCCAAAGGGACAGGGAGGGTCAGAGGGAGGCCGCAGCTTCCTGCCCCCACCCTTTCCCTGGGCCTGCTCTGCTGCTTTTGTGCCAAGATTAGCCAATCCCTTTCTGTCCCATTCTATGTGCTTCCACCTCTGCCTCATCTCCCCTCCTGCCCCTGCCCCACAGCTCCCCAAAGAATTGAAATGTCAGCTCAGGATTTGGGGCTAATCTGTGTGAATCCAGCATGTCCTAGTCTCGCCCTAGTGTCCCTTCAGCCCTGGGCCAACCAGCGCCCACCCCTGAACTCTGTTTCCTCATTGCATGGCCTTGTCCTCTTGTCCCCAACTTTTTAAGCACAAATGGGTTTCTTCCATCTCCAGGTTTTCTGCCACTCTTATTAACCAAGGTTGCCTCTTAAAACAAGGGCGGGAATCAGACCTGCTCCTCTAGGTCACAACTCTGTGGGAGGGACACAGAGCCCCCCTTCACTGAGTTCTCTGGATTTGTTCTCGGTGCCTTAGCAAGGAAAACCTGTGCTTGTGTATGTGGGGAGCCCTGTCTCGCACCTCCTTCTCCACCCCCGCACTCCCCAGTGCCTTCCTCGTTCTGGCGGAGCTGGGGTTTGCTGTTCCCCAGTCCTACAACACTGCCAAAAATCTGTGTGTGCCAGTGGGTGGGGCCAGGCCCTAGCCTTCTGGGATCTGTGCCCTGTCCTATCTCTGGGGCTGTCATTTCTCTGGGTGGTTAGGGAGAAAGGTGGGTAAGCTTTCTCAGCCTTGCAGATAAGTGTGGCATTTACCAGCCAGAGCTCTGAGAGGCAGTGCCATCTGTTTCTTGTTCTGGACCAAAGTGAAAATCAAAGCACACTCCCTGTGTCATCAGGAGAGGTTCACGGCCTTCTCAGAGCAGGGAGCCAGCTTTTCAAACTCAGCCCCTAACTTTGTTTACATGGGTGGGGAGGACATGGAACAGGGGAGCAGGGGAGGTGGTTAGGACCTGGGTCACTGGAACCAAAGTGGGGACTTCTGGGTAGGGGGGTAACTCCCTCCGCTCTCTGACCTGGGATCAAGGAGAGTTATTGCCCGAGCCATTGCTGACGGAGGTGGGGGGAGGGACTCAGCCTCATCATTGTCTAAATGAGGCCTAAACATGTGAAGTGTGATTTTCTGCTTTTGTGTACCCCACTCCATTACCGAAGCTGCCTTTGTGTTTGTGTCAATAAAAAGCCAAACCCTGGGTCCTGGGCCTCTGAGCGTAGAGGGAAAAGTGAGCATGTGGGCAGCCAGTACTGATAGTGGAAGCTTAGGGTTTCATCCCTCCCAGAAGCCTCCTTCCAGTTCCAAATTGAATTTCATGAAAACAAAATGACGAAGATCACAGCAGGTGGGCGCTTTTACAGTTCTCAGGTAGCATTTCGCAGCTGGCAATCCCTGCCCGCTGCTGACCAGCATTCTCCCCCTGCAGTGCATCCAGCCTCAGCCCTTTGAGAAACGTGGCGGCAGGGTGGGAGGGAGAAGAAGGGCAGCTTCCTAGCCAGACTCAGCAGTGAAGACTGCCAGGCCCCGCTGCCCCTGGGGCACAACTGTCAGGGCCTCCACCTCCCCACCCCCTTGGGTAGGCTTCTGGAAGTGTGTCTCCAGGATGTCAGTTAGCTCTGGGCCATCCAGGACGTCAGGAATGTTGAGCACCAGCACTGAGTGGGGCTCTGGGCAGGACCTGATCTGGAAAAGGAGCCCGGAGACAGGGAAAGGCTCATGAGAGTCAGGCTGGGGACAGAGGGTGGGCCATGGAGCACCCACCGAGAGGGGGCAGGAGGCCTAAAGAGGCTGATGGTGGGTTGGTCAGTGGGTTTAGGGGCTCTGAGCCTCCCTTAGGCAAGCTTCTGGCAGGCAGATAGGTCGCCTGGCCCCCATTCCCCACCTTCCCCCTCACCTCGGCCTTCTGGATCTCACCCTTCAGGTAGGGGGAAACCGTCAGAGGGAACTGTTGTCCACCCAGTGGCACTGTGAACTGGCCAATCCGACACAGGTGCTGGGCCACTGTGGGGCCAGGGAGGGGTGGACCTTTAGCCAAGGGTTCTCCGCTCCCATAACCTGATGCCTGTGCCCCAGTCCTGCCAGCAGCACCCTTACCTCCATCTTCAGCGAAGCCCAGCATGATGCCCCCTTGGTGCAGTTCCCGAACCTCCACATCACCACCCCCATTCCTGGTCTTGCCAAAGAAGATCTCCAGCTTGTCCAGCAGTTCCTCCTCACTCAGCCCGAGCCCCGCAGGAAGCCCACTGACCAGCACCCTCCGGCTGCTCAGGTGGCTAGACACCTAGGAGGAGATGAGAAGGAGTGGTCCCAGGCCAGGCCCAGCCCACTCCCCGGTGCGCAGGCACGCAGCGCCCCCTGCCCACCCCAGGACCCCGCCATTCTATCACCTGAATGGTGGTCACCATGGGCAGCTCCAAGGGCTGGACCTGCACCTGCAGGCGGCACTCTTCTACCTTAATCTGATGCTCCTTGTGTTGTAGCACCTGTGCAGCCACTGAGTTGGGGGGGCTGGGTCAGTCCTGGGCACCCTCAGCCTCCCTCCCAAGGCTTCCCTGAGAGCTCACCCTTGGGGTCTTCAAAGGTAACCAGAGCAGAGCCTCCAGGTAGAGGGTAGCTGATCCGCACTTTGAAAACCAAAGACTTGGGCACATCTTTGTCCTGCTGAGTGTGTCCTTGGAACACCAGAGGGATGTCAGGCACTGGGAATGGGACCTGGAGGTGGTAGGGGGAGACTGATTCAGCCTTCAAGGCATTGAGAGTTCCCCACTCCCTCCCAGGAGGAAAGTGTCCCCAGTTCAGTGTGACTGATGTTGAGTGCCAGGGTAAATGTATTTATTGAAAGAGCTGGAGAAATGAGTGGCTAAACATAGGTCAAGCCTGTAGCTGGCACTTTATACACAAGACTTTAGTTTTTCCTTACATGAGAGGTAGGTAGCTCCACTTTACAGATGAGAAAACAGGTTCAGAGAGTTCAAGTAACATACTCAAGGTGACCCAGCAAGGAAGCGGCAGCGCCAGGAGTGCAACTAAAAACTAGTCAGCTCTTTCTACCAGGCCACACCCCCTCTCTCAGCTTACCTTGCCTTGTGGAGCGTCCCCCAGCTCCCTTTTCAGCTGCTGCAGCTCCTGCAGCCTCATCTTTAATCTGGTCTGCTCCTTCTGAAGGGTGTGGAGGGCCTGTTGGAGCAGATGAGAATGACCAGATGCCCACCTGCCTTTGCAGAGAATGAACAAGCCCAGAGGAAGGGGGGCCATAATCTGGATTCTCCAGGAGCAGAGCTGATGCTCAGCCCAAGACCAACCCAGCCCCTTTACCCTGCTCTGGGCGGGTCCTGGACCACTTTACTCATGACTGGGTTGGCCTCAACTCCGTCATGCTCTGAAAGGCCTTTGCAGCAGCCATGGCTGGGCTGTTACTGGAGACCCAGAGTTTAACAAACACTGACCTCCAGCTACAATATCTGGGCACTGAAACAGGACAGTGGACCCAGGGCAGTAGAAGACAAGGGTCCAGCCCTCAAGCCCATACAAAACAGTACCCAAGACAGTGCACAATCACCCTGCTGATAGGACAGCAGGTATTTGGAGGAGGGACAGTCCCAAAGGGTAACAAACCTGGAGAGGCCTCTAGGAGGAGTGGGAGCTTAGAGTCGCAAAACGTCGTAATACTACTAGCTAACATTTGTTAAGTACTTAGTATATGCCAGGCACTGGGCTAAGCCCTTTACATGGATTATATCACTCAATTCTGAAAACAATCCTGTGAGATAAATACCCTCTTACCCTTATTTTACAGATGAAGAAACCAAAGTTCAGAGAGGTTAAGTAACTTGCCTGAGGTCATTTGGCCCTAGGCAGACTCCAGCATGCTAATTTGTGCTGTACAGTGAAGAAATCTAGCCCAGAGTAGGGGAGTCATTTACCCCACATCTCCTAGCTTGTCCTTTGACTGCCACCCTTCCCACTGTACCAAGCAGCCTTCCAGGCTGGGTGTGATTTGGAGCCAGTCCAGAGAGAGGTGACAACGTGAGCAGGGGAATGACACCAGGGGTACAAATCAATGCACCTTTGTTTATGGGTTGGAGCAGACATTAGCTGGCAGAGTTTCACCCCGTGGTTGGGAAGCCTCATAAATAAGGTCAGCTCAGAGAAGTGTGAGCTTACCAGTTCTGTCTTGGTCATCTCTGTATTCCCAGTGTCCCCAGTCCCTGGCACAAAACAGGCATTCAGTAAATGTGTTGAATGAATGGGAGCATGTTACAGCGGGGATTGAAGAAATTCAGTGTGAATTCACTCTATTTTAAGCAGAGGAAAACTAGGGCTTGACTGAATAATGCTGGTTTATCAGTAGTGAGAAAGGTACCTCGTTCTTTATATTTCTGTAAACAAAGGGTTACAAACTCAGTGCCTTTAAGGGCCAGTAAGATGATATCAATGAGTCAAGAGAGCTGGTGTAGCACAATAGGGAGAAGTGGGGACTCTGAAAAACTGGAGGGAGCATGTGCCCACTTAAATGTCAACCTCTTCTCAGCCCTAACCAATTTTTTTCACATGGGAATGTGGTTCCAGTATCCTGTCTTCCCATATTAAGGGAAATCAGAAATCTGAATTTTTATTTGAAAAAGATGGCTCAATTTAAAAAATATCTGAAAAATGAAATATACTATTGGCTAGTCAGTCCTCAGGCCACCCTCTGTTTACTTTTGCTTTAAAGCTTGATCTAATCATACATAATTGCCTGAAAAATCTAGTAATTGGTGATGTTATTAATAAATAGATTAATAATAATAAACAAACAAAAGCTTAATACATAGGGTTTTAAAAAGAACCATTTAAAAACGGGGATTTAGATTTGGTAGCAGTAGGAACTGGGGAACTGGTGAAGCTTTCTGTAAGGGGGAGTGTGTGATGGACATCCATCAATCATCAGAGATCAATAAAGAGATCAATAATCATGAGATCAGTGATGGCAGGATGAACTGGAGCAACAGAAACTGTAGTGTGGGGAAAACAAACCAAGAATTTGAGGCTCTAATTCCCACAGGCTTGGCAGGAGCCGACCTGGGCCACGGGCAGTGGGCATGAGCTGATAAGCACCTATATCATGAGGAAAAGCCTTCAGACCCTGGATTATTAAGGAGACAGAGGGGACAAACTGGGGAGATGATACTAAGGTTGTAGACCTGAGTGTTCAAGAGTTTTATAATGCCACTGAGGCAGCAGGCAAGGGAAGAGAGCTGGTGGTTACTGAGGGCCCACTGAATCCAGGCACAGGTGGACTCCAGCTCATTTAAGTGTCACAAACCTGCCTTCTATCTCCAACTCCCATCGGAAACTTCTCTATTATTAGGACCCTCTTAAAGGTAACAGAGGCGGATTGTAGTCGCTTACATGAATTCAGCTATACATGCTACTTATTTACATAACATGATAACATGGTCTCTAAATGCAAACCAATGATCATTTGGTGCTTTAACTAGAAAAAAAATGTGATGTATTTTACACTGAGCTCATTGAAAGACTGTAAATTCTGGAAACTTTAGTGGTAAGTTAATGATTTAAGGTTGACTTTGACTACATGCATTCTTCTGCCTTCTTGTCAAGTTTAGAACCTAACCACTGCATGAGATAAAATCTCATGCTATCTATGTTCACCACAGCAGTATCAGGAGGCCATTTAGCATAACCGTTAAGAGTACAAACTCTGAGGCCAAACCCCCAGGGCTAATACCCAGTACCTCTTACTACTGCAAGCCAATGGCACATTATTTAATTCTGTGTCTTGGGTTTCCTCTTCTGTAAAATGGACAAAACAGCACTTTGCACACACACACACACACAGACACACACACACACACACACACTGGTGTCTGGCATGTAATGAATGCTATGTTAAATGTCTTCTATTTTAATAACCCTCATTTTATAGATGAGGAAGCTGAGTTTTGTCAAGGTTAAGTAAGTCAAAACCAAAGTAAGTCAAACCCAAGGCCATTGAAGACACACACAGTCATGGACAGGACTTGCTGGGTAGGACTCTGGGTCAGAGCAGCATGTGGTAAGAGCTCAGGAGAACGGAAGAGCTCTTTGGGGACTGAGCCTTAAAAATGTACTCTGAGGATACCTAGTTATGGCTCATGAGAGACAAAATAATGCAGAGAAGGAAAAGAAGGCATGGTCAAAGATAAGCAGGGCCAGGGCCAAGACAGTACTGTCAGAGACACAGGAGGAGGACTGAAACAGATGCAAGGAAAGGAGGGCAACAAGAAGTCCGCTGGCTCTCTTGCTCATTCATTCATTCATTCATTCATGCATTCATCTGCCCAGCATCTAGCAATTGCCAGACTTTGTTCAAAGCTCTGGGGATATAGAGGTGAAAACAGACAAATTTTCCTTATGGCATTTACATTCTAGGGAATGAGTCAGACAATAAACAAAATAAATAAGTAAAATCTACAGTATGTTCATGGTAAGAGTTATAGACAAAAACGAAGCCAGGAAGGGAAGACAGAGAATGTTGGAATACAGTTTTACATGGAATGATCAGAATAGGCCTCCCTGAGATGATATTTGATCATATACTTGTAGGAGGTAAAGGAGCAAGCCTTGTGTTCATACGGGGAAAGTTCTATGCAGCGGAAATAGCAAATGCAAAGGCCCTTAGGTGGGAGTTTGTCAGGTGTATTTGAGGCATAATTAGTAAGGAGGCCCATGTGGCTGGAGCACAGAGAGAGGGGAGAATGGTTGGAAATGAAGTCACAGATGAGAGGGGCTTGGGTCATGCAGGGCCTCTTACACTAAGGGAGGTGGGAAGCCACAGGCAGGCGTAAATGTTAGGATTTAATCCTTTAAATGTAAAGGATTACTTGGCTGCTGTGTGAAGAGACTGGTGAGGGGAAAGGGTACAAGCAAGAAGACCATTGAGGAGGCCATTAGAGCAGCCAGGTGAGCGACGTGGCAGCCGTGAAGGTGGAGAGCAGCAGCGGAGTCTAGATGGACTGAAGTTGCTGATGGATCAGAATTAGAGTGTGGAAGAAATACCCTATGACCCAGTGACTCTGCTTCTGGGAGTTTACCTCAAGGAAAATAAACGACTAACTTGAAAAGATCTATGCATACCTCTGTTCACTGCAGCACTATTTACAATAGCAAAGATATGGAAGCAATTCAAATGCCCATCGATAGATGAATGGATTAAAGATGATGTGGTACATAAATATTACTCAGTTGTAAAAAAGAAGGAAACCTTGCCATTTGTGACCACATGAGTGGATCTAGAGGGTATCGTGCTAAGTGAAATAAGCCAGTCCAAGAAAGACAAATACCATATGATTTCACTTATATGTGGAATCTAAAAAAAAAAAATAAACAAACAGAAGAGAAATAGACTCATAACTATTGACAACAGACTGTTGTTGACTATAGGGAGAAGGCCAGGGGCATGGGTGAAATAGATGAAGGGGATAAAGAGGTACAAATGGCAAATTGTGAAATAAAGTAGTTATAGGAATGGAAGTACAACATATAGAGTATAAGCAATAGTATTGTAATATCTTGATATGGTGATGGGGGAACCACACTTACTGTGGCAAGCATCTAGTAATGTATATAATTAGAGTCACTACGTTTTACATGTGAAACCAATATAACATTGTATACCAACTTTATCCCAATTCTAAAAAAGGGGGAAAAAATCAATAAAAATACATATCACTGAAGAAAGAAAGAAATAGGGTGTGGAAGAGAGAGGAGTCTGGGATGACTAAGCTTTTTGGCCTGAGCAGATGGAGGGAATGAGAGCCATTGGCTGAGATGGGGAAGACTGAGATTTGGAGCAAAAAATTAGGGGTTTATTTTGAATATGTTAGGTACGGAATGCCTGTTTGACCACCCCGTACAGATGTAGAGTAGCAGCTACCTTTACCAACCTAGCATTCAGGGAAGAGGTCCCAGCTGGGAATATCAGCTGGGGAATTACCCAGGCAGAGGCGGTAGTCACACAACTAAATGAGATCACAAAAGGTCACAAAACTAAGTGAGATCAACAAGGGAGTGGGTGTAGACGGAGAGAGGCCCAAGGGCTGACTTTACTAGAAGAGGGAAACACAGAAGCACCAGCCAAGGAGAACGCAGAGGAGGGGGGAGGGAACAAAGTTCCAGGAGGAGGAGTAGGCGGCTGTGCCCAGTGCTGCCAACAGGCTGGCTAAGATGGGGGAGAGAGCATGACCACCGAGACTGAGCAACAAAAACACCAGTTACACTTATCATAAGTAAATGGCCAGAAGTTCATGTACCAAGATTATTATCCTAGCTTTGTTTACAACAGAAAATAAAATCTACATGTCTACAAGAGAGGATTTAAATAAATATAAAATATTATGTAGCAATAAAGACATTACAGAAGAACATGTGACATGGGAATGTGCTCACAATAAGCCAAAAGAAAAATATAAAACTGTATGGAAAACACAATCCCTATTCATCTAAAGAGTTTTAATTCATAAGGATATTTATTAATGCATAAAAATGCATTAAAAAAGTCTGGGAAGATAGACACCAAAATGTTATTAATTGAGGTTGTCTCTCAATAATGAGTTTAGAGTGATGAAAGAAAATGGTTTCCTGAACCCACCCACCTTCCTTGCTTTTTAATATGTAAAGACCCTTTAAGGGAGCGGTTTAAGCCAAGAGGTAGGAGTGAAGTGGGATGAATCAAGATAATCCTGGGAAACTGGGGTTCTGAAAAGCTTGGCAATAATATTAACAATAACAAACGTGTTGTGTGCTTAGTCTGTGCCAAGTGGTGTCCTGTTTTTACTGTATTAATTTGTGGGTTATCCGGGTTAATGACTGCAGGTATGTATTCTTGTGAAGGAGGTGCTACTTACTATTATTCCCTTCTTATAGATAAGGAAATAGAGCTTAGCCTGTAAACTTTAGAGAGGCTAATAAATTGCCCAGGAGGAACCAGGATTTGGAACCAGAGAGGCTGGCCCGGGAGCCTGTGGTCTTTCTTACCACCTGAGGGCAAATGGAAAATGTCCAAGTGAGAAATCTGTGTATTTGTAACAGCTGGGGTAGTATTAGGGAGGGAAGACCGAAGAAACTGGAGAGCGGATGTGTTTCATTCATTAAGCAGCTGTAACTGAGTGCCTACTGTGTGCCAGGCACAGCGCTAGGCACTAGGGATAAACGGTGGGTAGGCTAGAGGAGGCTCAGTCCTCAGTGTAGTCCAGCATTAAGGAGGGGTGTTCACAGGTCAGCACGGCGGGAAGGTTACTCAGAGAAGGTACATGCTTCCTCTGACCCTGAAGAGGGCTCAAGGTTCAGATGAGATAGAAGTAAAAGGGAAGATCTCAGGAGATGAGGATACGAGCAATTCTTAAACTTTCAGACTTGTCATTAGGGCAATTCTTAAAACCTTTTTGTTCACAGAACCCTTTGAGTATCTGATGAAAACTAAGGATTCTCTCTCCGGAAAAATACACATTCACACAAGAAATTCTCATTTATGATGTGGTTATAGAATTGTCTGAGGCAATAGGTTAGGGGACCGATGTGACAGGGGAGAGGTCTGCGCCCGCTGTGCTTCCCCCAGATCCACAGCCGGTCTGAGAGAGGCGCTGAGAGCAGGCTTGGCCCGCGGCTCCGGAGATGCCTGCAGCGCCCCAGCCGAGAGGAGTGCCCCTTTGCCCCACCCCCCACACTCTCCTTCCTCACCGCATCACGGGTCACTGACATGGGTCCGGGTTCGGGTGGCAGGAGCAGAAGCCTCAGAGCTACGAACAAGGCGGCCGGGTGCACCGTGCACCCGGACTGAACTCTCGCTTGTACCTTACCGGGGGCTTTAGTTCCCCCAGCAAGTCCTGAATACGCTTCAGATGGGATTCTGCAGGAAGCTCTTTACTTCCACTTTCATTTCAGTGAAAAGCCCGCCCTTTGGTGCTCACACGCCCCCAGATGGTTTCCCCACCCCTGGGAGGAGCCTTCCTAGCCCCTGACGTGTGCTCCGCCCTGCTATGCCGCCTCGGAAGCTACCCTACCAACTGCAAACTGGATGCTTATTCCAGCTTATCAAACCCAGCACAAGCCCACTGGTAGAATTTTGTCTGCTTTGTTGGTGGATATTTCCCGAGACCCTAGAAAGATGTGGGCACATGCAGACATTAACTGAATGAGAAATGCACCCAGGACAGATAAAGTAACGCCCATCAAATTCACAAAACTGCGGGAACGGCCAGCATTTGTTGAAAGCTGTGTTATATGCCCACTACTGTTTCTGCTTTATGTGAATTAACTTGGATCTTCAAAACTCTATTAAGTTGGTCCTTTTTTCCTCATTTTGCAGATTAGATTCTAACTTCTGAGGTACAAGACATACGGCTACAAAATAAGGGATGTATCCGAATCTGGTTGGAACATTTAGACCTTGAGGGATAATGTAAAAACTTGCATTTTTAGTCAGGAGGGTTTAAAGTCAGTCCATTTGTGACTCTGAGAAGGCAAGCTCCTTAACAGGAGTCCATCCTGACAAGAGACCCCAACACTTGAGGGTTTAAGTACACAGAACACTGTGTATGTTTCCTGATTTCATCTAGTCCAGGGTTTTTCCACCAAGAGTAGTTTACCACCCAAGCCTGTCTCGGGTGCAAGTGTGCAAAGTCCAAAGCTTGGCAAATACACGTTTACATTGTTCCATCACCAGCGGGAAGGCCTATTTTACCAGTAAGACAGGGTCAGTTTAAGTATCCAATGAAAGGCAAATGCCAGGTCAAAATGCTTCACAGCTGTGTCCAAGCCCCTTGATTCACATCCTTCCTTGACAGTCTACTAGTCAGGCTGCCTGGGGACTTACCCAGGTCTCACTAGGAACGGCTGTCTGGGGGTCAGGCCTTCCTCATTGGCCCTCGACCCTATCACCTTATGGAGTTCTCCAGTGTTCCTCACAGCAGCTCCAGTATCATGGGACAACGGGCTGGAAATCAACCTACTAAGTAAGTCGTGCAGGAACTCTAGCACTTTGTGGTCTAACCAACCACCAGCGCTAAGGCTTGAGAACCTCAGGTTTGTGGCTCTCAATCCAAAGCAGCTGGTGCCACTCAACGCGCCTGTGATTGTCATAATGGGGGTAGCTTGGGTTCTTTAGGTAATGGGTCGAAGCCAGGGATGCTCAACAGTTCTGCACCTAAAAATGTTAAGAGCCCTTTTTGGGGAACAGTTCAGTAAATCACAGTTTACCCACTGAGGGCAGCCAGATCATTAGAGGATTATCAGGCCAAGGATACAAGTCCTAGTCTCACAAAGCCAGACTTAGTTTTTATTTTGAGCTTTCCCACCACCCAGTGACTCACTGTATGAATGTTCTCCTGTCCCAGTCTAATAACACAGCAGGCAGACAGGGTTTTTTTTTTACATTTTTAATGATGGAAACAAAACAGATCTAAAACCGCAGCTTCTGGAAGAACCATTTGTTCTTGCCGGTCTTGTACCTAAAAGGGGGAAAAAAAGGACACCAATGAGAGGTGCAACAGGGATACAAAATTCCCTTCATGGAGAGTAGCAAAACTGCACCCCCACATCCATCACCAAAGCTGGCTTACCGCTCCTCAAACTTGATCTTGGCCTCTCTTCGGGCCTTGCGTTTAAGAGCAGGGTCTCGGAAGACATCCTTGTTGACGACAGTTTTGTCCAAGGGAATATCCACAGAGTACCTGGGGACAATGGCAGGGAAGCAAGATCAGCCCATACACTGCCAGGGCCTTTACATAACCTCCAAGCACTCCTGGGACATTGGGGTGTCAAGAGTTTGACTCCATAGGAGCAATCCTCAAAAGCTGTGCCAAAGTCCTGATGATTCTTTAGAAACCCCCTAATTTTAGCAGACTCAATTTAGATTCAAGCCAATAAAATACTTCACATTTCATTCTCAACTTTCCACTACTCTCTTTCTAGCTAAGAACAGTCATTTTATCAGCCCTTCTTCACTAGGACCATGGCAACTGGCTAGCTTTCTATTGGAAGCCCTTTTATTTAGTGCTGTTCAGGTTCTATCTATGCAGGGCCAGTCTCAAAAGACTGCAAATGCCAGACAGCTAATGCCTCAGTCTCTCTGCCATCCAGCACCTGAGAAACAGCTCTGCCTCTCTAAGTCAGCAAATTAAGAGTAAACATGCAGTCCCGGCAGTGAACTTTCAGGAAAAGTACTGCTGGGTATTGGCAATTATTGTTGGAGTTTCTCAAATTTTGTATTGCCTTCTAACTCTTGTACTGAGATCGTGTATGTGCTACACAATTCTGTGAAAGGCTAGCAACTAAAGGGTCTGTAGGCTGAATGGAATTAACTAGGGAAGACTAGTGAGACATACGAAGAGTAAACTCAGAAGACACTTTTCAATCCTGCTTGGCCAATCTAAGACAGGAAACAGCCCCCAGATTAAAGAGGTAACATTGGAAAGCATGACCACTTTGTAAGTGACAAATTAAAAAACAATGTCTCTTCCCAACAATGGAATGACTACAAGGTTATCCTTATTAAGCAGGGCAGTGAATGGTGGGTGGTCCCTTTCATTCCCACTCTTGAAATGCTCACCTTGTGGGCATGAGGTGATTGTAGTTATAAACTTTCACGAAAGACTTGATCTTTGACCTCTTGGCGATTTTCTTCTTGCCCATGGCAGCTGTCACTTTGCGGGGATAACGGTCAATTCCAGCCACCAGAGCATGGCTGTAGGGGCGGTCTGAGGTGCCATCATCAATGTTCTAAATGAGCAAAAAAAAAAAAAAAAATCCCATTGTTATTAACCAAGGGCCTATATAGGCCTTGTGCTAGGTGTAAATCATGTATAGAAAGAACACCCCACCCCCTAGGTCTGAGACCCATTACGGTAAAAAAACAAAAACAAAGACATTCTAAGTGCTGTGGTAGATGCCCCCAAGAGTAATGGAGTAAGGGTGGTATTCACTCTAAATAGGAAGAGATTTAAAAATAACAGTGGTTAACATTTATGGAATGCTTGTTCTGTACCAAACACTGGTTCTTAGGACTTTACATCTCAACTTCCTCCATGACTGCACTGCTAGTCGAGGGGTGAAGGCTGGATTTCAAAACTTCAAGCTTAACTTCAGAAACCAGTCTCAGGTAGATGGGGGAAGGGAAACAGAGGGTGCCCCAGTGTCCACACAACAGCCAAAAGCAGGGTTTATGGGCCAGAGCTTAGGGAGATCTCACAAGAGGCTACAAAATGTATGCAGAAAATAAATGGTTAAGAGCTAAACTACACGAAGTAACCCGTTGGACTAGGAACAATTTCTCGTCTTTTTTACAGAATTCCAGCTGCAACACTTAACTACCTGTTTCATCTCAGGTGAATTACTACCTAAGATCTTTAATTCTTAGCAATAGAAACGAAACCCCTGTGGTTACTGCAAAGACTGGACACAGCAACACCTACCTCTAAGGCAGTGCCAGGCCCACGCAAGCGTTCAGTACACGTTGGCTACTATTATTAAAAACCTTTTTAGTAGAGGATGCGTTGTTTTAGGTGCACAACTCAACACACATTTGCTTTTTACTTTTCATCTTCCTCGACAGAACCCCCATGCACGCACCGCCCACATACCCACAGTGTTCAATGGCTAAGGCTCCCAAATCAGTTACTGATTCCCAGCTTTCCGGCTCCCTGAAACCAGCCCGATTCCAGGGATGCAAAGGCGTTAGAGAGGCTCGTGAGGCTCACCTTCACGATGACTGCTTTGCGTCCGGAGTAGCGTCCAGCCAGAACCAGCACCACCTTCCCGGGTTTCATGAACTTGCCCATTTCTGCCGAGAAAGGGAAAGAGGACGCTCAAAATTCCGCAAACCCAGGCCGTGGGCCTGAAACTCAGGCTGCGCTCATTATTCTCTTGGCCCAGACCGCCCGCAAGCCCTGATCGCGGGACAGGATCCCCTACGAAGCCGCCGGGGACCAAAGGACGGAAAGCACCCGATACCACTCCGCAACGCGACCCCCAGGCCGCGGATGGCAGCGGATTGCAAGACCCTGCCCAAGCCTACACTCACCGACAGCAGAAACTTAAACCTACAGCGAAAAGGAAGGAACGGCCCTTCCTCTAACCTTTCACCCCAGGGAGAGGCGACCTCACTTCCGATCACGCCTCTCAGGCTTCGCCCCGCCTCTAGCTGGCATTCAAAACCTGTGCTGCGGACCGAAGAACTTGTTGAAGGGAAAGCGGGCTCTAGCCGTTCATTTATTGAAATCAAACTTTATTAGCATCTCCAGCTGTAAACCAGAGCAAAGGAGTCCAATCTCCCTCGTACGGGTGGAAGCGCGAGGAAGGCATGCGCGGTCTTTTGACAGCTGCTCTTCAGCCCCCTTGGTTGCAGTTCCTCTCTCTGGCGCTAGGGGGAAGGGGAACACTTTTTTTGTTGTGTTTTGTTTTTGCCTTGGAAGAGTTAAGGAACATTGGAATGCCCACCGTGTGCACTGCTAGGCGTAAGAGACGAAGATAAACCAGAGTACTTACCCCCAGCATTTATAGTCTAGTGATGTCATAGACATTACCGACTGGAATAAGCAGTGAGGGAGGTGAAGGATGATGGTGATAATGGCAGCTGCTCACCCTGTGTGATCCCTATAACACTAGGAGTTAGGTACTATTATCTCCATTATAAAGTTGTTGCCCAAAGTCCACAGCTATTAAGTAGTAGAGCTGGGACGCAGACTCAAGCAGTCCTCCTTGAGCCCATACTGTTTACTCTATCATCATACTGAGCACTTGCTCTATGCCAGGTAAGATGCTTTACATAAGCCAACAGCCTATTTAATTCTCACAACTCTGCCCTTTGGGTACTTTTCTCCCCTTTAGATGTGAGGAAATTAAGATTCAGGGAGATTAAGTTATCTGAGGTTAAGCCTGACCAATAGCATAGTTAGGATTCAAATCTGGGCATGAACCCAGGTCTAGTTGGCTCTCAAACTTAATTATTTCCCATGACTCACTGAAGAGTGTTTTTACATGGCTCTTTAGATGTCCTCTGAGTTTAAAATAGAGAAACCATTTTACAGCTTTTGCTCATCTGAACATTGAAGAATGTATGGAATTGGTCTTGGGCAAGATGTGGGAATAACCAGGGTTTCAATTCTTTTCATGAGGCTCTCCAGGGACCAATTTTTCCTACAGACCATAGGACCCCATCCCAATGTCTTATCACCCAAATTATGTACTTATGTTTCTATATTCAAGTATTTTCTGCTTTGATTTGGAATGACATTTGAGTTGGAAGGGGCCTCAAAGATCATCTTCTCCACCTTCTCAGAGAGGACAGTTCTAGGGCAGCAAAATCAGAATTGCTGGCCCAGAACAAGTTCTTCCCATTCCCAGTCCAGTGCTCTTCCCATTACACCACACTGCTCTGTTTCCACCTTCATGGTCTTCTCCCAGCCTCTTACCTATTTCTGCATCTTTTGCTCTCTTTAAACATAGAAACCAGACTCAGAAATCTCAGTTGCCTCAGAGTCTTCTTTAAAATGAATCAGATTAGTAACAAATAAAATTCTGTGAATTTCACCTTGTCTTTTAAATCTTTTCTTTTTCCACTTGCTCCCTAACTGATCCAAGCTCTGTTCTTTTTCTTCTTCAGTCCATTTTCAAACTTTGTATGGGTCTGAATTGTCTGGGATGCTTATTAAAGATGCACCTCCAACCCGAGATTCCAATTCAGGTCTGGAGTGAGTCATATGATCTATAGATCTTATTTTGAGAAGTTCCCCTAAACATTCTTAAGCTCACTACTTATCTGCTTACAATCCTTCATTGTCTCCCTGTACCAAAGTTTCTATTATCTCTCCCTTTCTACCTTCCTTGCAGCATAAGTTCGCGATTCCTCCACATCTTTCACATATCCCTTGGGGTCTAGCCAACTTAACTAATCAAAGATCTAACCTCTTCTGAGCCCTGATGTCTTGTTCTATGTGTCTTTACTTTTCTCCTCCACTGCAGCCAGACAAAATCCTATCCATCTTTCAAGCCACTCCAAAATTCTCCCAGGTAGAATCTCTTCCTTCTCTGTGCCCCCACAGCTATTTAATCCATACTCACCTTTATTATAGAACATATCTTGGTTTGGATCAGCATGACCTGTCAACTTCTTAGAAATGCAAATTCTTAGTTCCCACCCCAAAGCTACTGAATAGAAAACTCTGGGGATGGGACCCAGCAGTTTGTGTTTAGCAGGCTACCCAAACCTCCAACTGGTTTGCATCTCCTTAGCTAGATTGTGGTTGTTCCTTGAGGACAGGGAGTATGTTTTACTTCTCTTTCCTCAGCATTGCCCAGCCCAGACAGTTGGTAGGCACTCAGTAATGAATGAATGAGAACAGAGCACTTGGGAAATCTTTTAACAATGCTTTGCAGGTTGTACTTGAAAAACAGACCCTGCACTTTCACTGGATACATGTCCATGCCTCTACTGATGCATATCCTTAGACCTGGGCTGACTGTTCCTCCTCTCCCGCCTTTCCTGCCTGCCTCACCCCAACCCAAGGCAGAGCTCTAGCTCTGTGCTCAGTTACAATGCAGATGATATCAGTGACTAGCAGGTATCTGACCGCTGGGATGCTGGTGGGATTGTCTCCATCTGTATACACCTTCAAGCTTCATGAAGAGCTTGATAGGCCAATGGTTGTCTGCCTACCTCCCTGAAGCCCAGTCCTTTGGTAGCCACAATTTCTGGCACACATGTGGAAAATACCTTCTCTTCCACAAAATGATGGTAGAGTGAGGGGGTAAAGGAGAGAGAGGAACAAAAAATCTGGAAGCAGCATGATACAATGAGGTAAGATGATTAAAACACCATAGGATTTGGATTCAAACCCCCTCACTTCCATCAAATAAAACCTGGATGAAATGTTTATCCTGTCTGCATTTCAGTTTCCTCAGCTATAAATTGGGGATATCAATCATCCTGCCTTACATGTTTTGAGAATTAAATTAGGATGACACAAATCAAAATGCTTCCTATCATGCTAATGCAAAATCTTAATAGAAATCACTTTTTGTGAGGGTTAGAAAAAGATAATACTGGGGCAATCCAGGGCTATGCCATATGGCTATAGCAGTTATTACCTACCCTACACAATATCCAGCCAAATGGATTTAAACGTCTCAATTCCAAGAGTGGCATGTGTGGTGACATCTGCTCTAGGGATGGGACCATAGGTTTGGGTAAGACGGGATGAAAATGCCAAGGCTACTTTTTAGTGAACCTGTTCAGGGGGAAAAAACCACGACTAAAACTGAGTTGACCCAGAGCAGAGGGCAGAGAAGAGGCAGAAAGGCCAGGAGCCAGACATTGCTGGATCTCGATCAGAAGGGCTGATACAATGCACAGACTTATAAACCAAAGCCAAGGGTGTCTAAGGTCTTTGCAGAAAAGGTATAAAAAATACAATGATTTTATTAGCAACCACAGACACATCATTTTCCCATATTTTACGCTTATTATGTTTCACACAGGACTAATTCTAATGATTATGAATACTTGTTAAATAACATGTTGCTGAAAAAAATTAAGTTAAAATGCACTACATAATACTGTAGACACAAAGTGCAACTGGCAACTTAATACAAGAAATAATGCTGAATCAGCAGTGTTGGGAGCCTATTTGGTTTTCCAGAAAGTGATGCACTTTGCCCATCTTCAGTTAGTCCTCGAGCAGTATGCAAGCTGAATGACAGATATGAACTAAAAATGCTAAAATACCGAAGACCAAACAGGACATTCTTGAGTCAGTTTTATAATGAAATGCTCAGCCCCTTGTCTGTCAGCAGTGATCTGCTGCAGTCCCTACCCTGCTGTAGTACCTATCACATGAGCAGACTGCCTCCAGGACAAGTGGAATCACAACCCCAGGAGTGGCTGCTGGTCACCAAAGTGTGTTCCCAGCCACCCTTGACTTGGGTGGCAAGGATTCACTTGAGGAGTAAACTTCTAATATATTTGCTTCTGAGAAGACGGTGTCAGCATCTGGTTGGGAGGCATGCAGAGGAAAAGTTACTTGCCAGAGGATCTGGTGCCAGATAACAGTTGTGATTCTTCATAAACAACGAAAAAAAACTTATCATCTGTGCTGTGAGGAGAGGACCACCTTGTCAGGAACAGATTTAATTCTTTTACACTAAAAAGGTCTCATGTTAAAATCAATTTGTGGCTAACTCCCTTATAAATGCTGTTCTCAGTCCTGTTCTGAGTCTTAAAGACAGATGTGGAATAACCATAGCCTCTCTTGGCCTTGGGGTCAGGGAGAAAGGGGCATTAGTATTTATAAAAGGAATTTAAATTCTGGCCCTAGAACCCACCCAAACCTGCTTTGAGTGAAGGAAGATGGCTCCAACTTGACTGACAGGAGCCTCAAGTTGAATGGCTTCCAGAACCAACAACTCACTGTTGCTGTCACTCACTGTCAGAAAGAAAATGGTTAGAGCAACCTAAGTTTTCCAAAAATCAGACATGGCATGAGGAGTTGGTACATTAACTGTGGGCCATGACTGACTTCTTTTACAGAGGCTCAAATATATGTACCCACATGTACACTGTGGCTACCCACCAGGCAGAACCTTACCAACAGGGTCCCTGGCATTTCTTTCTGAAGATGCTAAGTTGGAGGGGCAGACTGCAGTCACTTGGCTAGGGAAAATGTCTTTAACCCCTCCTACTTCTTTCTAAAACTAACCATCTATCTTTCCCTTCTGAGCAAAGTGCAGGGCCAAGGCCAAGACCTTCTCATCAAAAGGCATCTTTGATGTTCTTCAGCTGGCGCACAGCCAAGTCTACAGGGAGGTTGAACTTGAGGCTGCTGAGGCGACTGAGCAGGTTGAGGGCGCTCTCAAAGCCTGTGTGTGCCATGTAGCTCCAGGGCTGGTAGTGGGGCTCGATGAGTGACCCAGACTTGCAGATGAGGTTCACCCAGGATACGAGACGCTGTTCATTCAGTGCCATGCATACCAAAGCCTTCAACTCTGAGTCTGCACTGCGCTTAAAAGGGTCGTGCTCCGTCAGCACCATGTGGATGGCTGTCAGTAGGCTCTGCTTGGGGGTCACAGAAGTGCCTCCCATAACAGGCAGGGCGAAGGCCTGGGAGAGCTTTCGGGCTGGGGATTCCACATAAGCTCGGCCGTTCTTAGCATGGTAGTACTTTACAAAGAGCTCCCAGGGGTGCATGGCCTCAGGGGCTGAGGAGAAGGCTGGCAGCAAACAAGCAATGGGGGCCAAGACAAGGCTCATCCCTGGAGAGGCGGCGTACAGTCCGTGGGCCAGCAGGTCCCTCACGGCCACCGTCAGCTCCTTCCGCACAGCCATGGTCAGCTCATCCTTGCCTCCCAGATAGAGGTCCTGGACGTTGGCAGACGTGATGACGTGGTCATGTGTCTGGTGCCTCAGGGCTAGCTGCTTAACTCGGTCTACTGATACCTCCAGCCTCTTCAGTAAGGGAGAGTAGTCCCTGTCAGCCTGGCCCCTCTGCCACAGGGTCTGTGGGATCTGGCCCGTGGCACAGCCAAACTGGCTAACGGCAAAGATCTGGAGCACTGCCAGAGCTCGCCGCATCAGGTGCAGCCCGGTCTCCCGAACTCTCTTCACATCTTCTGCCTTTGCTGTTTAGAAATCACAAGGACTCATCAGTGAGAGGCCATAATGGCACAGAAAGACATTCAATAAGTCACAAGCTGGGGGCCAGTCTTGCTTTTGAGCTATCGTATGGGTCCCACATAAAGCCAATAGTCACTGAAGATGTCACTGACATCGTAGCTATAGGATGGCTAATAACAGCTATATTGAGATATAATTCATATACCATTCAATTCTCCCATTTAAAATATAATTTAGTGGGTTTTGAAATGTACAGAATTGTGCAACTATCATCCCAAAGAGAACGCTGTATTATTAGCATTTCCCATTCCCTACTTCTCCCCAACCCCCCAGTGTTGGACAACCCCTAATCTACCCTGTCTCTAGGTTTTCTCTCCTAGAAGCTGTACTTACTTTTGTGGTATCCTGGAGGCAGTTGGCTGCTGCCAGTTCTGATGGGGCCATTTCCTGTCTTCCCACTGGCCTTGCACTCACAGTGTCCACTATCTGTCTGCAATGGACTTCCCACTTCATCTGTAATCAGAAGTTACAAAGAGGAGACAGTTAGCCACTTTATGACAGATTTTTTAAGGAAAATAACATTTACTAGTGCCTACTACCTGATAAGACTTTTACAAATATCATCTTATTTAACTGCATGAAACTGGCATATAGTAGCTGGCTCACACAATATTCCTGAGTGAAGGAAGCATGAATCATCATTTTATGGATGAGGATAGTGGGGCTAAAGAGGTTAGGAACCTGCCCAAGGGCACAAAGCCAGTGAGTGACAGAGCTAGTATTTAACTATCTCATTCTAAAGCCCATGTTCTCTCTGCTCTACCACACTGGCTCCCTTACTGACTGACAGGCATCTTAAATAGTACATTAAGAACTGGCACCTTCAGCTATTAGTACTAAGAATGCATTATCATTATTACATCTGCCCACCCTTCTCTCCCCATCCTCTTTCATGACCTTGGATGAAGTTGATGAACATTTCCAGGTCTCGGATCTGAGTTTTCAGCTGCTCAACCAACTGTTCTTTCACCCGGGCTGGGTTGACAATCTGAGCCACAGCTGCATCCACACGCTGCCGGAGCTCCTCGGTGGACAGTGAACTGATGTCTTCATTCAGATTCATGTCCAATTTCTTTATTAACTCATCTATGATCACCTATTAAGACCACAAGCAATGAGCCCACCCTTTGGAATTTTCAGAGAGAGGATGAGGAACAATTTTTACTAGTATGCTTTCTACCCTTAAATGGAAATCAAAGGCACCAAGTGCTAAATTTGAGAGAGAAAATGCTGAAACTGCTGAGTAAGGTGAGGGCACAGACCCTTTACTTCTTTCATAGTAACAAGGACTCTTGGTTCTTCTCTGACAGAAATAGCTCCTCTCACTGCAGGTTTCCTACTAGGCCAGGCAACTTCAAGAGAACAACAGTGTGAATAACACAAAGTGGCTGATGGTCCCCAAAGCCTCAGTGGTAGCTTCCCTCAAGGTCTCCATGAGAATGAATACTCATGTCTCTTAGTTTCTAGTCTTTCTTATCCTTTCTTGCCCCACTCCAGCTAACTAAAGAAAAAACATCAAGGTACATTACAGCCAAAATACCTAACAACATTAGGAACAACTTGAAATCTAGTTAATGTAACTCCAGCCCAGCCAGAAAAACAGCCTCATTATGGGGAGGGACAAACATGTAGCTGTATTTCTATCTGTAGATTTACCTGTCTACCTAGGTGTTGCTTAAAAAAACATGGCATTAAAGTCAGTCTGGATTCCTGGAATATTTATCAACTAGTGGTGAGGAAAAAGCTAATTTACACTGTATGATGTGCTCAAGCAGAACTGTTTAAATGGTCAAATGACAGAAATTTCTATTGTTATTATTATATATTGCTATTATTATTATTATTAATAATGACCACTAAAACAAGACAGCTCAATAAACCTATTATAAAAGCTTTGGGATTGGTGTTTCCACGTGTGAATAAAGACTGGTCCCATGTAACAGCAAAAGTTCCCTTTGAGTTGAGCCAACAAAGGGATTCTCAGTAAGGCCACGGATGAACAAGACAGGTTCACAAAATACTGTGAATGCTGGAAGGTACAAGGCAACTTTAGATAGTGGTGGACGCGCCCCTGGTGTTTCTCACCCGCTGTCTTTCCAAGACCACAGACTGTGGCAGGGAGTCATAGCTGCCCTCTTGATAAGCAAATGTTTCCAAGTCATCTAGCTGGGTTTTGAGCTGCAGTATCAGTTCCTTCTGCTTCTCCCGTTGGGTTTCCAGCCGTTCCCGTTTCTCCTGCTCACTCTAGGATGAGAAAATACTCAGGGCTATTTCACAGGAAAAGGAAAATTCAGGGCACATTAAGAATCCTCTCAACCCAATAATGACTAGTAAAATATAACATTTCTAAATAATCCAAATGAAATATAGAATTCATAAGGTATATTCAAAAATAATAATTACTTCACCTAGGGCAATTTATTAAATGTGTGCTCTCTTTAAGAAAGTATTTGTCCCTCACTGGAAATAGGATATGAATACAATGGGGCCTTTTGTTAAGACTGACTTTTTTTTACCCCCCACAGGTATAGTTAGGATTGAGACATTTTAACCAAGACAGCCTCCCAGGAATTAAACATGCTATCCTCCACAGCCAATCACCACTGAACAATTCCTAAGTACTTTCTGCAGCCAAATTTTACAAGAGAATCTAGACGTATGGGTGTAGAGAACGGATTTATAACTCATAACCAGTTTTCTTAAGGTTCACAGCCCCTCCAATGTATTAGAGACTTCTACAATAGCAAAAGAATAAATGCAGGTGCCTGGGGCAGTGAAAAAATTCCAAAGCCAAGTAATACTGGTTGGAAGGTAATGATGTTAAACAAACAAAAAAGACTGGTAAATTTCCCTGACCAGTGACTCCTTTTCCCACTGTTGGCCACCAAGTAATCTCAACATTTAAATTATTAAAAACCCTTCAGGGTGGCAAAAGCCTGGCTAATGTACTCTCAAACACCAGTTCTTGCTTGCCTTTCCTGAATAGGAAAACAAAACCAGGCCAACCAGCATATCATCTGCAGGTGGAAAAGGCTGCATATTAAACTATAAAGTCTACAGGAAATTAAACTTAACCTTAAACTTGTACTTACCAAACCCTCCAGAAGTGAGGTATGAGAGAGAACAAATAAAAAACAACAAATTAACTTTTTGTTCAAAAGGCAATTCTCTTGCTTCAGCTTTACTTAACATGGAAGCAAGCCCCTTTTCAAGAAACTCCCTCCCCAATCCACCCCCCTACCCCCAGAAAGCCTGGATATCCTTTAAGAGAAAGTTTCCTTGATTTCCCCAGGCAATACTGATCATTTCCTTTTCTGTATTTTGTACACACTTCTACTCTAGCTCGTCACCTCATAATTATTTGTTTAGGATTCTGTCTCCCCCAGTCTATGAACTCCTTAAGGCAAAGCCCTTGACTGTACACCACGAATGCCTAACACAGTGCCCAGCACAGGGTAAGCTCTCAACAGACGTCTGTCGTGTTACTGAACTGAGTCAGGTAGAGAACACAGTCAAATAAATGAATTCTGACTGGAGGAAGTTGCCTAACAGCCCAAGGAGAAAGAACTGGGGACACTTGGTGTTTTCACTGTATCCCAACTTTACAAAGCCACGGAAGAAAGACACCAGCCTTAAGTTCTGATTCTGTTTTCGTGAGTATGTCTGTTGAACTCTGCCACTTGTGATGCTAGTTACAGTACACTATCTACTGAAGTGTGGGCAAACAAATTTGAACAGTGAGAATAAAGAGCTCTGGGCAAGGCTGGAAATAATTAGAAATAATTTCCCATATGAAGTGACATAAAACACTGGTTTAAAAAAACTTAGAACTGAGAAGAAGTAGTAAATCATTTGGTTCAAACATGCCCCCTAACTCTGGCACTACCTGCTCATGTGTCAATATATACACACACACAAGATTATGGCTGCTTATTAGACGTTTTGAGCACTACATTTTTTTTTTAAGTTGAACTCTATTTCCAAAAGTGGAAATGAACAACCAAAAGAAGGTCCACACAGACCCTTTGGTGCTCCTCACTACTGAACAGGGCCTGGCCACAGTAATTCTTCCTCTCCTTTCTGTTCCTTAAAAAATCTGGCTATTTGAGATGGCTGCTACTTGCGCAAGGAGCAGTGAGTATGTGGAGAGAAGGTTGGAACAGTAAACACGGGACTGCAATGGGAACATTTCAGATTAAAATAAGCAAGTCAATATCTGTTACTGATAAGTCATCTTCTTTAAAACAAATTTAAGTCAGGAGAAAGCCACATGTGGGTGATAACTTGAAGAATAAAAACGTACAGAAAAGACAGCGGGTCTCTTCAACACCTCCAACAATCCATCTACAATTGTGCACTTCCAGAGATTGAGGCTGTAAGGAATTGTTCCTTTGCTATGATACACAGATTCTCATTACTTAGTCTAACAGAATGGATCTTGTCACTGTAACCAAAGGGGCTTCGTTTAGAATACCTAGTTATTAAGCAGGATGGGGGGGGGGAGTTTTAAAATACCAGCAGTAAGAAATTCATCTAATCAGGAATTGTGTTTCTTTCAATTACTAAGAGACCCTGCTGTTCATCAAAGCTCTTGTCCAGACAGGATAATCTAAAGATTGAAGATGTTCTCTAGATTGCAGGAAAGCACGGAGAGAGAATAGATCTAAATTTCCATGGATTCCAATTCACTTGCCCTTCACTGGCCAATCCCCAGGTCGGAGTACTCTATCAGCAAATGTGCCCAAGACTTAGATACTTTATGGGGCGATGGCAGGGTAAGCGGAGGCAACACTGCTTGGGTCGGTTGCTGTTATCCTCTGAATACTCTTTGCTCATCGCTCCTGTCCCTCGTGTCATCACACCGTAGGTGGACACCTCCCATCATCACATTCCCATGCCTCTCTGTACCCCTGCCCTTCAGCAGACCCCACACACCTGTTTCGTCTCGGACGCGCGTATTCACCTAAACCAGACGGCTTCTCACCACTGCTCCTCTCGGTCCGCATTAGTATCGCCACCCAGCAGCCCTTGTTCCCATCTCTCTCTGGGCGCGTCCCCAGCTGCTCACCTGGTCCTCGCTCCGCAACCGCAGCCGGTCCTCCGGCAGCCCGTCGCCATCGTCGCTGGCGGGGTCCTCGGGTCCCCTGTAACCCAGGACATGAGGGCAGCCGCGGAAGGCGAAGTCCTCGAGCTCGCGCAGGAGGCGCTGCTGCTCCGCCGGCGCCCCGCGCACCACCTGCCGCAGGCGGAACTGTACCTGCGCGAAGTGCGAAGACAACGCGAGCAGCGCCGAGTCCAGCCGCCGCCGCTCGGCCCGCAGCCGCCGCAGCGTCCGTCCGGGCGAATCGGGCGGGGAGCCTGGGACGGCGCCGGACTCCTCGGCCGCCGCCTCTTCCGAGAACGCAGCCGCCCCAGGCCCGGCCTCCGCCACCGCCCCCACCGGGGCCCAGCGCACTGCCTCGCACGGTGGCAGTGGCTCCTCTTCCTCCTCCTCTTCGTCTTTCACCTTAGGTCTAACTGCCGCCGCCACCGTTACCGCCTCCGCAGCTGCTTCTACAGCCGCCATCTTCCCGGAAACGCCGCCACACGTCAGCCGCGCCCCCTTGCTGCCATGGCAACGGGCGCGCGGGCTGGGAAACCCGAGGAGCGGGTGGGCGGGGCTATACGTCACGGAATTGACGTCACCACGGAGGGGCCTTTCCCGGGATTTAATTCGGGCCTATAATTTTTGTGGAGAGCCTACTGTGAATCAGGCCCTGAATGTACTAAGCAAGCGTTGGAGAAACGGGTGAGTGAAGCCGGGGCAAAGTCATTCCGGGTGTATCGAGCGCAGTGGAGCACTCGCTCTGTTCTCAGCGGGTGGGTCATCCTTCCCATTCGGAACGTTTCTGCAGACCCCGGATGTGAAGGGCTGCAGGGGTTATGCTCCTTCAGTCTCTGGCGATTGCGAATCCCTCGGCTGTAGCGCCGCGGTCCCCCTTCCTTTAGACACTTCCCCGGCCATATAAGGAGAGGCAGCTGCTGGGAGCTTCCCCAGGATCTAAAGATAGAGGCCTCCGCCTCGGACTCCGAACCTCACCGAACAGCGGGAGCCGCCATGGCACGGTGAGCTTTTCCAGCCACCCTTTACCCTGGAGAGTCCATGCCCTACATTTTCTGGGCGCTCCGGGTTCTTCGAGATCCTATGGGAACCCCAGGCGCAGGGTCTGTAATTTGGGGGTGGTGAGGGGAAAGTGCGACCTGAATGTTCTCCGTAACTCCCTACCTCTCTTCCGCATTTTCGCGTTCACCCTCAACACACTTTCGTCACTCCCCTTCCACCCCGTCTGTCTCTTTTAGCTCCGCTTTGCCAGAGCCATAGCGTAAAACGGCCCTATATTTTCCCTTTCCTTCCACCTTTCACAAATGCCCTCAGTCTCCCCTATCCCACTCCTATGAAGCCCCACCGCAACCCCTCCTCAGGCAGCATGCCCGGACCCTGTGGTACGACAGGCCCAAGTATGTGTTCATGGAGTTTTGTGTTGAGGACAGCACCGATGTCCGTGTGCTCATCGAAGACCACCGTATTGTGTTCAGGTAATGGCCCTTGCCTGCTGGAGGGCCTGGCCTCCCGGGACCCTCCACTTCTCCTCATGCTCCCATACTTAGGCTCCCACATCTCTTCAGCTGCATTGTCTCCTCAGTTGCAGGAATGCCGATGGAGCAGAGTTGTACAATGAGATTGAGTTCTATGCCAAAGTGAACTCCAAGGTAAGGGTGGAGTGGGACAGCAAATTCTGGTTGGAAAGGTTGATGGGAAATTGGAATTCATTCTAAACCTCAGACCCTAAGAATGAAGCTTTCCATCTGGCAGGACTCCCAGGATAAACGATCTGGCCGCTCCATTACTTGCTTTGTGAGGAAATGGAAGGAAAAGGTGGCCTGGCCACGGCTCACCAAGGAGGATATCAAGGTGGGTGTTTGGGGAGTGGCCTGCTCTTTATCCTGTGCTATCCATGTGCCTGGGTACCCAAGCTAGGTTGGGAATCGCCCTTGGCTCCTTTCCTACCGACATTCAATCACTCAACCAGATCCTGCCTATTTGACCTCCTAAATATTCTTGAAACCATTACTTTCTTCCTGTTTCAGGCCTATCCGTCACAGGATGAAGTTTGTGTACTATTTTCAGCCCCACCCTTAGTCCATCCTCTGCATTGCTGCCAGCATGGTCTGTCTCAAACATACATTTTGACCTGGTCACCTTCCCACTTAAGATCTTGCAGTGGCTTCCTTTTGCCTGAAAGTTGAAAATTGGCCGCCTGCTGGTGGGAACTGGCTATCAAATTTGTTTTGGCACCCTTCACAGTATTAAAAATTATTTTGATTGGTTACTGACATTTAAAATGTTTTAGTAGTTGCTGACATATCAAAATGTGGAGATTCACCTAAGAATCCAGACTATCAGCTCCATTTTCAGAAAATGGAGACCCTGGCCACACTGGTCTAAATTCCCAAATGTCTGGAGTTGGAGTTCTAAATGGACCATGAGCTCCACCTTGCTTTACTCCCTTTCATTATCTTCCTGACTCTTTCAGGCATTTTAGTTTATAACATTTGCTCTGTGGGTCGAAGTCCAGGCACCATAGCATGAAGTGTAAGTTCATGACCTGGTTATTCCTCCCTTCTGCAGCTTTATGTCCCATTACTCTGCTTCAAATTTCACATTCCAGACACAGCAAACTGCTTACAGCTCTTTTGCACACACCAGGTTATTTCTTGCCTCTACTTTTGCTCAAGCTGTGCCTTCCTCCTTGAAAGCCTCTATCACCACTACGTCCACCCACCTAACCCCCGCTCATCCTTCAAGGTCCTGCTACTCCAAGAAGCCTGGGTTCCCATAGCTCCTTTATGGATTTCCATAATATACCCTATGTAACCCACTACCACACTGGCTACACTGTATTATAATGATTTATCTATGCTTGCCTTTCCCACTTGCTTTGTGATGGTTGGGAGTATATTCTGAACGTTTTTCAAATCACCATGCCAAGCTCAGAGTCTGGCCCATAGTGTGTGTTCGATAAATAGCTGTTAAATGAATGAGTGAATAACCTCATTCCCTATCTAACTGTGGAAACATGGAACACCGGCCTCAAAGGCTTGTCTCTGGCTCTAGGGAATGCAGCTTCTCTGTTTTGCTTGGTTGACGCCTATACACTTATGATTCTTTACAGCACAGTTATCTTCCCAGATGTCTTATCTCCCCAGTCAGTCTGCTGCTTCTGGGCAGCAGAATTTCTGTGCTTTTCCATCCCCTGTGATGCCTGGCATAGTACTTGGCACTTAGTAGGTTCCAGGTAAATCTTTGTGGATGGTGATGATGATGACTTAGCAGCCCGGACGGATACCTTCGTTGATGCCCTTTCTCCCAAGCATGTTCATGTGCACAGGCCCACCCTCTTCTATGCTCTTCTGCTGCTGTTCTCGTGGCCTGTGACTCTCCGTGCTTTCCTCTTGCAGCCAGTGTGGTTGTCTGTGGACTTTGATAACTGGAGAGACTGGGAAGGGGATGAAGAAGTAGAGCTGGCTCAGGTGGAACATTATGCAGAGGTAATGCCATTTTCTGCCCATCTTGATCATTCTCTGTATCTCTCTGCATGCATTTCTCTGGAGGATTATCATCAGGGCTAGGTAGGGAAATAGGACCTCCCCAGACAGGCTATGCACTGGTGTTGGTATTCTTTACATATTTTGTGCAAAGTTTATTTAGTAGGGTTAAGAGATATTGAATATTCTGTTAGCGAAATTCCATATATAGAATCACTCACTATTCATAGAGTAGAGCTTGTGTTTTGAAAAAGTTTGACAAAACCCTTTCTTCTCTGTAATTCTTGTACTGTCTTTCTTCTGTTTTCTTTGTGTGTGTTTTCCTGAGCCAGACAACTTCATGGGAAGCTCAGTATGAAAATTCACATCATAAAGTAAATCACCAGTTTCCAATAAATTGCACCTGCCATCTGTTACTTAGTTTCAGAATTTTAGCTACTACTTATTCAGTTTGCAAAAACAAAACAAGCTCTAATCTGGATTAGTAAGGAGGGTGCTCTGTGTTAAAATTTCTTTTTAAAAAGGGGGTCAATTTACTTTTCTCCATCTCATTCCAGGGATGTGTTAGGGGCTTTAAAGATAGGGCAGGTGTCTGGCTGGGTCCCTTCTCCTGTGGCCCATCATCATGCAGGTTGCTCTGCCCTTACCCCTCTTCTGTCCTGTGACTACTTTTCTTTTCCCACCAGCTTTTGAAGAAGGTTAGCACCAAGAGACCTCCCCCTGCCATGGATGACCTGGATGTGAGTAAATCTTCAACCCTTCAGTTTCCTTTTAGTCATTAAAAATAAGGTTCTAGAAAGCTCGTGTCCCCCTCCCCAGCACACAGTAGTTCTCCCCTGTACTTATCCATCCTAGTGCAGACCTGGCCTTGTTGATTGTCTTTATAGCTATAAGGAGAGGTAGCATTAGTTGAAAATCTAAAACTAAATGATGTCTGACACAGTGCTGGAGTACCAGTGGTTTATTTTATTAACCAAAGTTTAAATCCTTCTGTATTGTATTAGTCTTCCAATAAGTGTGATTCAGAAAATCACAAAAGAAAACTGGGAGAGCAGGAAGGAGTGAGCAGTGTGTGAACACAAATGATCACTCTTTGTGAAGTCTAAGGTACTTTCATCTTTTTTCCCCCTCCTAGGATGATTCTGACAGCGGTGATGCAACAAGTCATTAACTCCTGTGCCAGCAGAGCTGGGGAGGAAGCTGTGGCTGTCTTCCAGATGATCTGAAAAGCCATGGCCTGGGTCTTTACCAGCTTTTTGGCTGTGTATAAGAGTCCTCTGGGATCTCTGAACTTTCCTAGAAGCTCTTTATTAAGGGTCTTCCTTCATGTTTTATTTCTTCCTAGGTACTTGACCATGGCTGCTGCATTCAGATATCAGGGTAGGATAGTAGAGCAGTGGGGTTTCTGATTTCCAACCAACTTCATGTAATCTCTGTGTTCAGGCCACTCATCAGGGCTCTCTTGAGTATTTGAGCATGAGTGTGTATGTGGTAGAGCAAAAGCTAAAGAAGCAGCATGTAGATTGTAATAAATCTCTAAGAACTCTTCTCTCTTGCCTTCATACTTCTTCCTCCTGGATACAAACCTTTTCTCCCTGTGTAGTTCCTTTCAAGGGGAGGGAAAGGTGTCAGAGATCCTGGCCGTCATTGTAGAGATTGGAAGGAGGATGTTAGGAGCAGATTGGAACCAAGCTGGGGTACTTCCCATGCCCAGATCTATGCTCTGATTTCTCAGAGCAGATACCAGTCTTTCGTTATGTGGCTAATGCTGCCACATCTAGAACAACCAGAAACCCATGTCAGTTTCCTATACTTTTACAGCTCATTTTTACCTTAGTTAATGTCTATGTCTGTTTACTTTTCCACTCATCTGCTACCCCATTCATTTGCTACGCCATTCATCCACACACATTTTTTGAGTGACTTAAACTATGTTGATCACCTATGAAGACCTAATTATTTTATAATATTGATATAAGGTTCTAATTTTTTTTAAATGAGACACTTCATAAAAACCTTAGTAAATTGTAAAGCATGATCCAAATACAGCTTTGTATTATCAGTTTTCTTTAAAAAGTTTAAGGACTAATGTCAACAGCAAAATGGACAAAATGCATGGATGGAGTACATTAAGAGAAATCTGAATCACTAATAAAAATAAACAATACTTAAAGTATTGAGATTTGTTTTAAAAAATTAAACTTTAGAGTTTATATCAGTAATATATGGACATAGTTAAAAAATTAAAATAGTATATAGAAGGGTATAAAATTTAAAGTGGAATTTGTACCCCTTCAGTAAGGGTAACTGTTACAGGTTGAGTTAGTTCTCCTTAATTCTTGTTCCCACCTCAACAAAGAATGAAAAGGCAGAGATGGAGAACTTTGCTAAGCAGAATTAAAGTTTTATTTGAATACACTCCAAGGAAGGAGTGGGCCAGAGTCAAAGCAGACTTTTTAAATTTTTTTAAAGAAAACTGATAATACAAAGCTGTATAATTATATAGTTTCAAGGGGTGGAACCTTTGGGGGGGGTCTATTTATCACTACCTAGCTGGGAGGCACTTCCTTTGATTGACAGGGTGAGGCTATTTGATTGACAAGGTGAGGCTATTTGATTGACAGCTGTAGTTCTACACCCATTCCTGTTGGGGCCCATGTCTTTTCCCAAACACACGGAAAAGCCCATTGGGGCGCGGGAAGATGGGAGCAAAACCACAATTTTATTTTAATGGGATTATGAGGAGGTGTGGTTTGGACGGTTCTTAGTTTTGTTCTATTGTGCTGGTGTTGGGACCGGTTTGGCCTTGTCTGATAGGCAAGAAGTTCTCCTGGCAAAGGCTTTGTTGTCTCCTGGTGGGACTGCTTGCTTGGGCAGTTTGGGCAGTCTTTCCTTGAACTTTATCTTCCCCTTCCCCAGCTGCTCATGTCTATCTACCTCACATAACAACTGTTAAAGCTTTGTGCAATCTCTATTTTGTATCTGTATATGTACTGTAAACATGATAAATTCCATAATACCTATAGTTCATATTACATAATTATATAGTTATATGTAGTATATCAAACTATATGACATGGAGCATAAACTATGATTGTTTATATACATGTACTATAACAATACATGTTTAAGCAAATGCTGTGTGTGTGTGTATACACAATTGGAATTTTACTATATATGTCCTGTGTCCTGCATTTTTCACTTAATATATATATTGGAGCTCTTTCCAAATCAGTGTATAAAAATCTCTTTTTCATGGATACATGTTATTCAATTGAATACATTTTCCATAATTTAACTGGTTCCTTATTAACTAACATTTAGGTTGTTAGTCTTTTTCAATTTTCAAACAATGTCACAATAAACATTTAAAAATGTAGATCTTTACCTATCTGGCAAGAATATCAGCAGGGTAAATTTCTAGAAGTAGAATTGCTAAATCAGAGTAGGTACATTTGAATATTTTGGTAGCTGTTTGGGTGCATGCTGCTCTTAGATGAAACTGCACCAATTCCCATTCCCAACAATGAGAGAGCTCCATTCTCCAAAACCTTTTAGGTATTTGCCAAGGTAAATTGTATCTGTTTTAATTTGCCTTAAGTTATGAGATTGTTCATTGTTTATTTTTCTTAGTGATTCAGGTATCTTTTAATGTGCTCCAGCCAAGTGTTTTGACCCTTTTGCTGTTGGCATTAGTCCTTAAATTTTTTAAAGAAAACTGATAATACAAAGCTGTATTTGTACCATGCTTTACAATTTACTAAGTTTTTATATAGTATCTCATTAAAAAGTGGAACCTCATACCAACCTTGTAAAATAATTATGTCTTCATAGACGATCTAACAGGTCACAATAAGAGTTGCGACTCAAACTTGTATAGCACAGGCTCCTTTATCTACAGTTCTGAAAACAAGAGAAGTTCTGAAAACAGATTTAAAAAAAATTGACACCTAAACTCATTTGGCGCAAAACCTGACCCGTAGTCTTTATTTATTCCATTTAGTCTATTTATGTCTCAGCATAAATATTAATGTGCTTGGCTACATGGTATTGCTCCGGAGTTCCAAACGGAGTGCTACATAACAAATGGGGTGTGCTCTGCATTACTGCCTAAAATCTGAAAAATTCTAATTCTGAAACATCTGGATTCTTCAAACTTTTTGTTGACTTAAAAGAGCAGAAAGTTTTATGTTTTTAATCCTTTTAACGTCTTAAGGCACTGATTGCAGTTTATTAATTGCTGTTAACTTCTGCCTACATTGCCCAGTTGAGTAAGACTGCTCACAGTGGTTACTGAGTACTTGAAATGGGGCTAGTCCTGAGATGTGCTGTTAAGTGTAGAATAGACACCAGGTTTTGAAAATTTCGTGCGAAAAAAACCCCTCAGTTATTTAAAAATACCCATTACATGATGAAAATATTCTAGATGTGTTGATTTCAATAAAATACACGACTTGTATTACAGTCCTATTGGGCATCGCTGCTGTGTGTGCAAGCCAGTACCATCCCCACTTCTACCCAGTCGGGATTCGTCTGGCCGAAGTGTATCCCTGGGCTAATAAGCTAAGTGCCTTGACAAGTTCTGGCCGCAGTTTGGTTCTGTCTTCTGTCCTTTTCAAAGTTTTAAAACAATTAGTAACAACTCGGAGCAGCTGCAAGTCGCATTTCCAATAAATTTGTCCAAACCGCGCCCCATTCTTTGTCCTTTGCTTCTGCGCGGAGAGGCGCCCGGAATGAAGATTGTTCCACGCTGCTCTCCGTCCATCCCCCGGCGTTCCGGTGTGGGCGGGTCCCCGCGTCCTGGGCGACGCGAGCCATGGCGTTCCGGTGTCAGCGGGACAGCTACGCCCGGGAGGTGCGGCTGCTGGGCGAGGGAGCGGGGGTTGCCGAGCGCATGGGGCAGTGCGGGGAAGGGGGCGCCGCGTGGAGGGAGTGCCGAGACGGATTCAGTCCCGGTGCTGAGGGCTGCGGTCGGGGCCTCCTCCCTCAACCTCTGTCCAGTTCACCACCACCGTGGTCTCCTGCCGTCCCACGGAGCTGCAGATCGAAGGAAGCAATGGCAAGAAAGAAGTGCTGAGTGGCTTCCAAGTGGTGCTGGAAGACACGTTGCTTTTCCCCGAGGGCGGGGGACAGGTACCAGGCCCGTCCCTCACCTCACCCCTTCCCAGAAAACCGCTAATGCCTTTCTGCTTAGGTGGGAAATGCTCCCCTGCCGCTCTGTCCACACCACCACCGCCCCCACCCCGCCACCGCCGTAATGGAAATTAGTTTAGTTGATTTCTTCATTTAATAGATGTTTATGAACAAATACGTATCTAGCCATAACACATTCTGAGTAGTATTCTAGGCTGTAAGGATAAGGGGTGAACAAGACAGTGTCTGAATGTACATTGAATATTTACTGGAGAGAACAGACAAAACGGTGAGGGAATATAAGTAGTATGCAAGGTATGATAAGTGCTATAAAGAAAATGAAAACGTGAGGGAAAGGGAGTGATGGGAAGTTCTCCTAGGGAGGGGACAAGTTATTTCAGTAGAGACCTAAGTGAAGTGAGCCGGTAAGCCATTGCAGTTATCTCCTGGTGGAGAGGGAAATAATTCAGGTAGAAAGAATAGTAAGTGCAAAGGCCCTGAGATAGGAATTCGCTTTGGGTATTTGACAGTTACTGAAGAAGATTATCCTGATGGAACACAACAGAGGGCAAACGGATAAGTGCTGTGATGGGGAAGGGAATAAAGTCTAATGTGAACATGGGAAAGGAGGATAGTAATACCAGAGCAGGTATTATGAGAGAGACTTTTCCTGCAGAGATCATAACACAAAGGGAAGGAGACCTGAAAGAATCTGACAAGTTTCATTAACTACAAATGGTGCAGTACAGTTGGAGCCTATCGTGTGTGTTGGTGATAGGCTGGAGATGACTTTGGAAAGGTAAGTGGGGGCCAGTTCAGAGGGCCTTAAAGGATGTGTTAAGATGTGTGGACTTTCATTGAGGAAGCTTTGGTGAGCCATGGAGGTACTTAGGCAAAGAAGTGACGTGAGGAAAGAACACGCTGAGTAAAGTTGATAGTGAGAAAGCACCAAAGTCATATCAGTGTCATTATTACAGCGATTTTCTGAACATGGAGGTTTTCTGAACGGCTGAAGGAAAACTCGTGACCTCCGGCAACTATAGAAGGTTTCATGTGATACATCACTTCTTTCAGGAAGTCTTCCTTGATTTCCTGAGACTGTTAGACCTCTTCCCTTTGAGCTCCTCTACAACAATGCACTTTTTCGTTCTGTGGTATGTTGTAGATCATGCTGCAGTGACCTGTTTGCATGTCTATATTCTTTAGATTCTTAAGTTGCATGAGTGACCGTATCCTTTTTACATTGTATCTTTAGGCCCACAGTGTCTTATAAGCAGTTGTCACTTGATATCTTTTCAAAATCTAATTCTAGTAGTAGCGCAGAAAATGGAGTAGAGGGAGTGAGGAAAATTCAGATCATTTTAGAAACTTCAAAGATAACTAAGGCAATGAGAGTGAGGATTAAGGTTCTTTGGGTTTTACTAAAGTCTTCATTGCTATAGTTAGAATTTTTGTATTCATTCTGTTACTCTGTTCTGAAATGTAGGTGCTCAGAGTGAAGAGAACAGAGACAGTCCCCTCATGGAACAAAGTTGACGCTTCACTTGCCATTGCCACCTCTTCTCCCTTAGGGGATCCCAAATTTCCGGTGTATTTTTCATGCACTTTCGCTGGAGGGACTCTGTATTCAGGAGGTAGGATGAGACTTGCCTCCCACCACTCATTTTCTTTACTTCTTTCCCCAGCCTGATGACCGTGGTACAATCAATGACATCTCTGTGCTGAGAGTGACGCGCCGGGGAGCCCAGGCTGATCATTTCACACAGACACCTCTGACTGCTGGGACCGAGGTCCAGGTCCGGGTAGACTGGGAGCGGAGGTTTGACCACATGCAGCAGCATTCAGGTAGATGGGGTGGGATGAGGGAACCTACAGGAGGGTAGTTGCTTTGTGTGGGAATGCCCTGATGATTGAAATGCAGTTTGGGTTCTCTAGGAGTTCACTTTTAGGAGAGACAGACATGTTCAGCCTCAGCTCCAATTCAGGCAGGCTATGATACATGTTGTAAAAGCAATATGAGCAATTAAAGGTATCAGAATAACTGCTGCATTTGAGTATTACCAACTTCCCACTTGACATCTGTATCTGTACTTCTCATAGGTTTCTTAAGCTCAAAATGACCAAAATGGCATTAAAAAGTCACTCCTTCCCCCTGACTTGGCGTTTGCAAGCATTCTCTGTGTTCGATGCATGGATCAGCATCCACCCAGTAGCTTAGGTCTCAGAACCTCTTTGGAGATAGCCTGGCAGCTATGGTCCCATCAGTTTATTGTCTAACTACTTTGCTACTTCCTTGCACTGTCAGCACAATTACCCTAGTCCTAGCTCTCATTTTCTTTCCCCAGACCTCTGACATAGCCTCCAGGCTAGCCTTCCCACACTTAGTTTTGCTTCTTTGTAGCCCATTCTCCACGAAGCAGCCAGAATATTCTTTTAAAAATAGAAATCTGATCATGTCACTCCCCTTCTTAAAGCTATTTGAAGGCTTCCTAAAGCTTATGATAAAGCCAAACTTCTTGTCATGGCCTTCAAGCCCTACCTGGGCTGGTGCTTGTCTAATGCTCCAGCCTCATCTGGTGCCCCTCACAGTTGCTCTCTGCATTCTGGCCATGCCAGCCTTCTTTCTCTCAATTCCTTTTCTCATCCTGCTTCTTTCCTTCAGGACCTTTGGTTGTCTTGTTCCCTTGGCCTGCACAGTTAATTGCTTTTCTTCCTCCTCCTCACTGTCATCAATCAGTGGTACTGCTGGTATCTAATGACAAGTGTGTGTGGTAGGTACTTGATAAATCTTTGTTGAATGAATGAAAGTGTCACATTAGAACATGAATTCAAATCCTGCTTCTGATAAGCTATATTGCCTTGGCGAGTTATTTGATCTGTCTAGGCTTCAGTTTCCTTATTTGTGAAATGGTATCATTAAGGCCTCTTTGCAGAATTTTCGTGAGGATTTTCAATAAATCTCTCAAGAGTATTACCCAGTGCCTAGTAGGTCTTCAACAAGGAGCATTTCTGAGATGATATCTGTGGGAGTATGCTCTGGGCTTCTCACTCTCCTCCTGTCCTGTTCTCTGCTCAGGGCAGCATCTCATCACAGCAGTTGCTGATCACCTGTTTGGGCTGAAGACAACATCATGGTAAGCAGGAGTCATAAGACTAACTGTAGGGCCTGGGTCTCTGGTCATGAGCTCCTTTCTCAGTAATGGATCAGGGGTAAGAGAATAAAAGAAAGGGTAACGTTCAAAGTCTGTTGTGTTCTCCTGTGCCCCTTGAAGATGGGGTGGTGAGTGACCTTGTATGTCTTTGGGGGAAACATGAGGATGACAGAAGAGACATCTGCCTTTTGCTTAGGAAAGAATGTGGAATTTGGAGCCCAGAGACCTAGAGGGTGAATCCTGGCTGCATGGCCTTGATCATGTTCCTTACTACCCCTTACCCATAAAGTGGGAATGGCAATCCTTACCTTGTGGAATTTTTGTGATGTTGAATAAGATACTTACATGAACATTCTTTGTAAGGTATAAATTTTCTTATGTTACCATTGTTGTCACCATCAGCATCCAGTGACCACTTCACTTCTTCTGGCAGGGAGTTAGGGCGACTCCGGAGTGTGGTTGAGCTGGACGGCCCCTCTGTGACTGCAGAGCAAGTAGCTGCCATTGAGCAGAGTGTCAATGAAAAAATCAGAGATGGACTGCCCGTGAATGTGCAAGAAATGAGCCTGGATGATCCTGAGGTGGAGAAGGTAAGGGGAGAGCCAGGGGGGCGACTTCTGCAGAAGGGCCCTCAGGGGGCTTCACAGCCCTTCTCCTCCCCTGTGTTCCAGGTGAGGGGCCGCGGTTTACCAGATGATCATGCTGGGCCCATTCGCGTTGTTACCATCCACAGCGTTGACTCCAACATGTGCTGTGGGACCCACGTGAGCAATCTCAGTGACCTTCAGGTAGGTGAGGAAGGGCTCGAATGGTTGGGACAGCAAGTGTCGGCAGTGGTAGAGGGGAATGATTGAAGGGTTCTGGTGAAGTCGCTCCTTCATTGCTTCCGAGCTGGGGGAGGTCGGGTGTCTCGGAGCCTCAAGGCTAGCACCCACTGGTTCATGCATGTGTACGCTGCCCTTTGTCTCATGTAGGTCATTAAAATTCTGGGCACTGAGAAGGGGAAAAAGAACAAAACCAACCTGATATTTCTGGCTGGGAACCGGGTGCTCAAGTGGATGGAGAGAAGTCACGGAACTGAAAAGGCACTGACCACTCTGCTTAAGTATGCCCCTCCCGCTGTCTCCTGCTTCTCAGAGCCTCTTACCCCGCAGCTTGGCTTTCCTACCTGGAAGGTAGATGGAGTAGTCTCTTATCTCTGGGAGGTGAGATGCAAATAAGAATGATAAAATGCTTTGGATAGCAAATCAGACTCATACAAAATGGTTTATTCCTTTTTGTTGCCTAAGAGGCTTCCTTGGAATGTCCCCGGTGCCCATCTAGAGGGAGACTCACTCAAGAAGGACATCACTGATTTATGCCCCACACCAAAAGCAGCTGGGAAGCTGGCCAGGTCTCCACGGACATTTGTCTTGCAGGTGTGGAGCAGAGGATCATGTCGAAGCGGTGAAGAAGCTGCAGAATGTCACGAAGCTCCTGCAGAAGGTAACATCTTCTTTGGAGGATGTAGTGGGCATGGGCTCTGCCTGAAACAGGCTCCCCAGCCTTGACCCCTCTGCCTAATCAGACATAGTTTCCCAGAGTGGGGAGTGAGGAGAGAACGAGGTGGAAGGGGGATGGGGCTCACTCTTATTATCCCTTTTGTCTGCTGAGTTATGGCATCCATTTCAGAACAACCTCAGCCTGCTGAGAGACCTGGCTGTGCATGTCGCCCACAGCCTTAGGAGCAGCCCCGCCTGGGGAGGCGTGGTCACGTTACACAGGTGAGAGGAGGCCTGGGCAGTGTAGGCTTAGGGCTCAGCCTCTCCCCTGTATGTAGTGTGTAGAGGGAGCACGTCACTCACTGGTGTTCTCAAGGCCTAGTAGACTTTAAGAAATGTGTTACCTACCAGATTTTCTGGTTTTGATACCAAACATCTTCACTGTAACACTAATTTTTATTAGCACCTCCTTCACCATCTACCAGAGGTCATCTTATCTGGGTGAATCCTAATCAAGGGAGACAGAAACAAATGCAGAGCTTGTTATAAGCTGCTGAGCCTGAGAGGGATATCCTTCTCTTTGCCGAGGGAGCCTGGGACTTTGCACAGACACACAGCAGCAAGGCCTCCTCACGAGGAGGAGCTAGGCTTCTTGCAGTTTTCCCAGTTGCCACTCCAACCTGGGTCTTAATAATGTCTGTCCTTTGTTGTAGGAAGGAGGGTGATTCTGAGTTCATGAATATCATTGTCAATGAGATTGGGTCAGAGGTAAGAGGAGCATGAGATACTCTGTCCACTTTGGGTAGAGATGGTAGTGAGGGGCATTAGTTTAGCCCAAGTCCCTCCACATGAACATATGAAGAGTTGGGAATAGAAATTCATTCAGTGCTGTTTTCTGGGCACTAGCTGTGAGCCAAGCTCAAGTTTAGGTGCTGAGCTACGTCTGTGATACTGACCTTTCGTGACTGTGACATTTACCAGCCTGAGCCACCCAGATTTACATGTGCTGTGTGCCTGATTTAGAAATGGACAGTTGGCTCGGCCCTTTGAAAGCCATCCCTCTCCTTCCCCTTTGCCTCTGGCCTCAGCTACCCTTGCCCATCATGACAGTGTGGGACTTGGTGAGTTCCAGAGTTGTCTTTCAAATGTACTCCAGAAAACATTTTGTGGAGTACCTACTCTGTGCTAAGCACTGTGTATATCTTTTCATGATTCTGTGTAGAATCTGCTGGCTCTCAAGGTGCGTGCTCTCTAGTCTGGGAGACACGTGCGTGTCAGTATCTGTAATTTTGGGTGGCAAATGGACAGGTGGAAGAAAACACTGCCTGAAAGTGGGGGTGGGAGCTCCAGGGGAAGGGCCTTGAAGACTGCTTTAGCGGTCACCAGACTGACCAGGGAGCAAAGGCGCCAGGCAGAGGGGAACACGAGGTTTAGGCAATGGCAGGTTCAGGGTGCAGAGCGTGTTCTGGTGACTAGGCTACAAAGGGTGGTGGGACTCATCATGAAAAGCATTTATGCTTGGCCATGGCTGCAGCCATCTGCCTCCTTAATGTTTAACCTAAGTGTCCGTAGTCACTCTCAAGAAGTTTCTTGGTCCTGGTGGGTCAGAGTGGCAGGACTACATTATCACTTGTCAAGAATATCACCCATGGTTTAGGAGGAGAAACCTATTCTTGGTGCTTAAGAGAATGAAGGCTTTAGAGGGATCAACCCCACATCCTTCTGTATCAGGGTCATCTCCTTGTCTTACCTCCTAGGAGACCCTCCTGTTCTTAACTGTGGGCGATGAGAAAGGTGCTGGGCTCTTCTTACTGGCAGGGCCAGCTGAGGCCGTGGAGACCCTGGGGCCCAGGTAATCTGTGGACTGCCTTGCAGGGTGGGAGAGCCTGTAAGCCTCACCTGCTAATACAGCCCTTGATGAAAAGGGCCACCACCCTGCAATCTCATGTTCAGGCCTGTGAGGTGGGCTGAGCAGAAATAATTATCCACACCATCATTCCAAGTTTTACAGATGGGGGATGTCACGTCACATGCCTGACATCGCCCAGTTAAAGTGGCAGAACTGGGACTCAAACCAGGTTTTTGGCTCCAGGTCTCAGGTGCTGCCTGTTTTTTCTTTTAGAAATTGAGATTCATAAGTGATATGTGAGTATGGGTGGCCGATCGTCACTAGGCAGATAAAGCAAGTGCTTAAGACAGCAGCAGCAAAGCAGAGGCACAAACTTATTGGAGAAAAAATTAGGATTGTGGGACTAAATCAAAGTGGGTATTGATGTACTTGTTATGGAAAAATTAGAATGTTGTTGAACTTCTTTACCCTAATGTTACTGTAATTTTCTTATTTTAAATTAGGAAGTGTAGTGCCCCATATTCTGTGTGGCATTTAAGGTTTTCAAAGTTCTGATTGGCTCTGATGAATATGTGTTCACTGTAAAGCATAGAAGGAAAACAAGAATTTAAAGGAAACATTCCTGGCAGTCAGCCAGATGTGGCCTATAGACTGGTTTGGCCCATGTACTTTTTAACATTTTCAAAATGAGTTGTTATATTTTAAAATGTAGGAGATTTTCATACAAAAACATAATTCTAGCTTTTCTCAATGAATAGAAAAAAAGGCACACTCTGGCACCACGGCCTGCGTTGCCACGTGGTAGTAGCTGCAGGGAAATGAACCGTGGCTGCCCTCTGCAGACAGGACAGGCTTGTCCAGGGTGCTGCCGCCTCACGTTTCACACTCGCCCCAGCTCGCTTTGCTGCTGCTCCTGACAGGTGGCGGCGGTGTAGCCCCTGACCCCTCTGCACACTCCTCCTGCTCTTTGGAGGTCACCCTGACTTTCCTAGCCCCCTGTTGCTAAACAGCAACTTCTGTTGTTCCCAGTTTTTCACTCTTACAATAAACATGGTTCATGTATCTGTGCACATGTGCACGTATGTTTAAGAAGGATTTGTAGAAGCCATCTACTCTTTCTTTGCCTCCCTTCTGCCCTCGGGGAAAGACTCTGGGCTCCCTTAGTTTCTTTGTGGCTTTGCCCTTGGAGACCTCTTCTCTGACCCTCTCTCTCCCCCCCAGGGTGGCTGAGGTACTGGAAGGCAAAGGAGCAGGGAAGAAAGGCCGCTTTCAGGGGAAGGCCACCAAGATGAGCCGGCGGGCCGAGGTGCGGGCTCTTCTCCAGGCCTACGTCAGCACACGGGGTGCTGAGGAGTGGGGACCGGGGCGTCTCCCCAGCGCTCCTGCACTTGAGAATGGGTCTCCAAGGACTACGGAGTCTCTTGGACAATAAAATAGCTTGACTTAAAATGGTTGTGGTACCACATACTTTACATGACTAATTTATACAGCATACTGTAGTAGGCTTATGCAATAAGTATCTTTGAATAAACAGCTTTCTAATTTGGCCCCTATTAGGCATAACCTATGAGAGTGAGTGTTAGGGTGATGAAATGTTTATCTAAACCCAGCTGCAACCTTTTTTCATGTAGAACTACAGCTGCCTGAGGGGAGTATGAGTCAGTCTGCAGGTTTGACTTGACCTAGGGTTTAGATTCATTCATATTTTCTTGCTTTCTTATTTTTCTTATTTTCCTAGCCCTATGTTTCCAAACTAAAAAGTGACTTTGCAAATAAGTCAAGAAGCCACAAAAATGTATAGGAGAAAGATGCTCCAAGTCTGTTATTAAGGCAGAAAAAGGGTAGGAAAAGATAACCACAGAAGACTAGCCCAAGAATGATGGTGTAGTATTATTAATATCAGGCAAAGGAGAGTTTGAGATCATTATTAGAGCCCAGGGACATGTCATGATAAAAGGAAGATAAAATAGTTCCAAATTTGTATCTACTAACAACCTCAAAATACATAAAGCCAGCATTGACAGACATAAAAGGAAAAACAGATAAATTCACAATTGATGGAAGCTTTAAACTTCTCTTTCAGAAACTGATAAAATAAGAATTATCTCAAGGTTAAGATAGTTTGGAGTTGCATAGACTTGTGTAGAAATCCTGACTGTTGTGCATCTATAGGTGATAAAACTAAAGAAAAGCAAGGAAATGATTGCTTTTAAAAGTCAGGACAGCTTTTAGCTCTGGTGTACGGGAGTGAAGTGGGTTGGAGAAGGGAGCCGAGATGCAGATGGTGGGCTGGGTTCTGGGGCGCCAGCAGTTTTCTGTTTCTTACGTGTTTGCTTTATAATTAGTCATTGGCATCTAGAGTTATATTTTATTCCATGAGGTTATATTTCACCATTTAAGAATACAACTGAAAAAAATGCTGCTGTCACTTACTTGCCTTGGGAAAGGTATCCTGTCTCCTGGACCTTGGTTGTCCTCACCAGGTAAGTGGCAGCAGTGGCAGTTCTAGTTCTCTGGGGTGTCGTGATGTAATGTACTCACTGTGTGTTCAAGAAAAACACCTCGTGGTTCCCAGAGGTGACCTAGGTATGTGTAATTGTTGATCACCTGCAGGCTGAGAACTCACTGTAAATACAGGCGTAGCTGCCCTTACACCACCACCAGGAGAACCTCATCTGTGGCAGTGCAGCAGCGGACGTGGGTGCAGGCATCGGGCACTTGCCTAAGTTGCTTGGGAGCTATGACTGAGCCCAAGAGAAACTGCTTTGAACCCAGCAGCCATCTGCACATGGCTTTGGTTTAGATGTTTGTCTCCTTGTTCACACAAGGGCTTTATTCTGGTAAAATTCCTACAAGAGAAAACTCCACAGCTGTACCTGCTAGAGAGACTGGGACAGGCAGGGAGCAGCTTTGTAGGACTTTGTTGGAAGGAACTGAGTGGGCATCTAGTGTATTGACTTCTAAACGTTTGTTTTCTCAATCAACCTAACACTCAGATCCATCCACAGTTAACTTTAACCAGAGCAAAGATGGTCAAGGTGTAGACATCCAGGATGAAACTAACAGAGAAGAAATAAGAAGACTGCCACCCAGGGGAGATGGTGTGGCTCTGGTTGTGGTCCGCGCTTTCCATCAACTTCTCTCGGTCCCGAGGGAGCATCGTTAAAGGAGCTGCTGACTGCAGCATGGCTTAACAAGAGAACTGAAGGATGCAGCTCTAGTGGGGGAAAACCATTTTTTACTCATGTGTCAGGACCCCCTAAGGAGAGAGTGATGGTCCAATTAGTCTCCCAAAGAGAATAGCTGGAGCAACTTGTCTGGTAAGATTGAGAGCCACACAGCAGCTGACTTGTCAGGGACCAGAGTCGCAGGGAGGTGGGTTAGTGGGAGGGCTGGGCTGCAGGAGGCCCCTGGCAGGGAGGGGATTTGAGGTTCTGAGTCAAAATTTAGGCCTTGGTGCAGCACCAGTAGGCTGCCTAGGGGTATAAAAGGCATCATTGACATTTGAAAAATATATTTTTTTAAAGTCTTTCTCCAAACCTGCCCCTGAGCCACCAGTTTTCCTTGCCAGAGACAACTATTGTTCCCAATTTCTTACATAGTTTCTGGTAGTAGTTTTTCATAGATGGGCATAAATCTTCCTTCTTTTGAAACATAAATGGCAGCATACTGTGCCCTTCACTGCATCTTCTCATTAAACAAGTGCCATGTTTTGAGACAAAACCATAGCATAGAAGTCATGCAGTATAAAATGGCTTCATCGGTGGGAGAAGGGGAAGTAGTATTTGCTTCACAGAAGGTTCCTTAACTTGACTCAGGCAGGATTCCGTTCGAACAGAGACCCCTTTGAATTCATTTTCTTGTGTGTGATCTCCCTGTGCCCATCCATGTATCTGTTTCTTCAGGGTGTCACAGAAAGAGCAGGGGCCTGGAGGCTTGCCATCCCCCAGGTGGGTTTTGGTCACATAGACCTGGAGTGGCCGTATAATTTATTATCCAACCCCCTGCACTTCTAAGAGCAAAAGGATTGCGCCACACGTGAGGCCGGAACCACAGTCGCAAACCAGGGTGTCTGGCCTCCCTCCTGAGTCTCTCCCTGAGCTTCAGTTCCTGGACTTGGCAATGAGGATGTGAACACAGTGCCCTAAGAAAGAAGGAAGTTTCTGAAATAATTCAATTTGAAAAATACATAAACACTTGGGCAAATTATGCAAAAACAGTGATTAGTTGTATAAAGAAAGGGAGCTTACGCTGTTTTTGAGCTGGTGATGTTATTCACGTATATCAAGGGGGCCCTAATTGAATGCCCTGGGGAGGGGAGGAGAGGAACGTCTGTTCAGGGGACGGGTGGATAGTCTTGTGAGGTTTACCAGAAAACAGCAGAATGAGTTTAATCACTTATTAGAGTAACAGTAAATGAGCACAAACATAATAATAGGTATTTCATTAGTGCAAAATGTGATTATTTTATGTACACACACATAGATTATACATTTTGGAATTTGCTATGACCCACTTTCACAGCATGGAAGTAGTGAGAAAGCGCTCCTTCTTGTCTTAAGAAAATTTTGACTTAAGTTGCCATCAGTTGCTGGAGACAGATGGTGTGGCTGGCACCAGCGAGGGTCTCCTGTGTACTGTATGTGCACATGAGGTCCCGGGTCAGATGTCAGTATGAAAGACAAAAAACTTGAGATGAATGGTGGCCACAAAGCAGGAGATAGACTGAGTTTAGCAAGGCATTGGGCCTAACCGTCCTGTAGCCCTACCCCAGCCTTTAGTCCTGAGTGGAAACCACTGAGTCAGCCAGGCCATGCCAGAATACCAGGTCTGTCCCTTAATAAGAACTTAAATAAACTCCAGAAGCCACTGGAAAAACAGACGGCTCAACATGCTCTACTGAAAATCCCTATGCCAAAAGCTTCTGTTTCTCCCATTTCTTCCTTGAATTTGATCCAAGCTATGACTAACACACCCTTGATGGAGGGCAACCGGGGCTATTTGGGCAAAAGTGATGGAGAAGTTTCCTTCTTTTTCCAGAAAGTTTGGCACCATCTGTGCAGACTGTGGCTGGCAGAGTGCAAAGCTAACTTTAAGGGACAAGAGTAGGTCTTGGTTAACTGACCTGGGCCTGCATCCAGAGCAGAAGACGTGCTCAGCAGGGACAGCTTTCTCTCGGCCTCGTAAACTCCCTGCAGAAGTGACCTGCAGCCGTGGCTCGCTGGCAGATACCCCGCTCATCTTCAAACACCAACCTCAGAGCCAAGTTTTCCAGAAATAAGGGAGGAATCAACCTTTTCTCCTGAAGATCAAAGTCCTTGTTCTTGTCAAAGCATCCATGTTGTTGCTGTACATGAAACTATCACAGAATTGATTTGTTCCGTTATTCAACAGATATTTACTGAGAATGTAGTGTGTCTGTGTATGCTGGACACTATTCAGGAACTGGCCACAGTGGTGAATAACACAGCTGTGGTCCCTTCTTAAGGCATTTATGGCCATGGAGAAGACAGGAAAAAGACAAGCAAATAAATGTAAGATTATACATTCTGTTAAGTCAAAGAGGAAAAGAACGGATGAAGTAAAAATAATGGAGGGAGGAGAGCAGGGGAGGGCTGTGGCGGTGCCAAGGGAGGCTTGGGGAGAATCTAGTCCCCTCATGATCTCTAGCGTCCAGGCCATGTCAAACAGAGCACTGTGTTTAACAAGCCAACAAAATCAGTTTGTTTTAATACAGCTCTGCTGGTTTCCCTTCCAACAAGATGGCTATTGCCAAGCTCCTTCTTTTTTTATTTTTGTTTTTATTTATTTTATCAAATGTACATCACAGTGGTTCAACAGTCCCCTTCTCTCTTCCCCAACCCCCATTCACCTTCTCAGTGTCCGTGAGTCTAATGCTGTTTTGTTCCTTCTGTTTGCTTTGTTTCTATATCCCACAAATAAATCATATGATATTTGTCTTTTTCCTCCTGGCTTATTTCACTGAGAATAATACCCTTTAGATCCATCCATGTTGTTGCAAATGGCAGGATTTCTTTTCTTTTAAAGGCTAAATAATATTCCATTCTGTATATGTACCACCTCTTCTTTTCATCCATCTACTGATGGACTGAACCCCTTCTTTATGGAAATTCTGGGTCTATGAATTGTCCTCCAGCCTCAGAAGGTGACCAGGGTCTTGAAGAGGCTGCTGGGCTTGTCAGTGAGCCATACATATTTTCGATGCCTTAAATGCGGTTGTTACAAGGAGGCAAAGAATAAGACAGACGTGAAGCTTGGGCTGCTCTTCCCCCAAACCTCCCCCATACTTGCTAGGCCATTTCTTCTGCCCTCAAGAGGCCCACCTTCCTCCCCATTAGTGAAGATAAACCCTGTGTTACTCCTCAGCAGAAAGAGGATGGCAGGGACACAGCAGTCTGAACAGACCTCAGGAGCACAGGGAGGCAGGT